TTTATTCATGCCCTCATTTCATTTACGCATTTAATTTGTCATCTCTTTGTTTGCAGCAGCTATGATTTCTTACAGCAACTGCTGCTGCTGTTGCCAGAAGCAACAACCGGCAACCACAGTTTGGTTGCTTGTGCTGTCAGCTTGATTGTGCAATTTATATGACAGCACGACTGTTGGCCCTTTGCCTTTCCTCAAAGCGTTGCATGCATTTGAGCGCTGATTTCATTCTCTTACTTCCACGATAATTCTTTTGGCTAAAAAATAGGGGAAATTATGATAACAATTTCTTATAAGCCTTATAAATAGCATTATATGTATATAGTAAGCACATCGGAATACAGGATCCCAAGAGCGGTTAGAACTTAGGGATTGAGCTTATGTTTGGTCTGCATCCAGAAGTTTGGCTAAGTTGTGCTGCTCAATAATTAATTACGAGTTAACGATCGAGTGGGAATGAAATTAATTGAGATCTTGTCAGCTATCGGAAATAGATATTTGCAGTGCCCACAGAATAAATATAGTGGTACCCACTTATTACTATTCAAATCGTAGATTCTGAATTAAATTTCTAAATTATAAAATAGCTAGATATGTACTATATACAGGGAATGTTAGCATGAACGATGGAGGCCGATGGCATAATTTATTGGGGGTCCATTTCAAGTGTCAAAATCATCAAAACTAAGTACTTTTGGGCGTACTCTGCATTTTATATCGCAAGTGGATATGTACAATTGCCAAATATAGTACACATATATGGGCATTGCGTGCGGAAATTTGACAGTCATTCAATCATTGTTTGTGACTTTATCATTTTCGTTTACGAAACACCCTCGCCCTCTCTATTGTTCATTCGTTCGTAAGCTAAATTGAAATCTAAGTTTAGTTTTGTTCCAATTGTCGTAGATCCTGTTACAGTTATCTTTTTGCCATGCCGCCGGCACACTTTTAATTTGCAGACGATGTTGAAACTTCAAGCAACAAGCATGCCCCAGCACTCTTCAGTATTATTCCATTTTCATATTTGCCTTTATATAAGTTGGTAACGCCTGTTCTTCAGTGCTCCACTTTGTGTGGAGCTATATGCTTGCATTTATATGCTGAAATACTCGTATATACAATGTCGCTGCTTAAACAGAATTGCATTTTTGCCTTTGCCGGCAAAAGCGGGTAACGTTGCAATAGGTTCGTTACTTTTCCTTTTGACGTCGCTGCCGGCAGCGAGTTTCTTGTATGTTTGCATTTGGCTCGCCTCCAATTGTTGCACAGCCCAACACAACAAAGCAGAGTTTTCTCTTTCAATGATTGCATTGTGTACGGTTTTGAATGTAAGTTGCGGCTTGTTGTACTGAACAGAGCAATTTTTAACATAACCGGAGCCGTGTTTTTGAATTCGTATGAATTCATTCAATTATGTAGCTTTAAGTTAAATGCAAACCTTTCGTACATACTGGGACTATGCAAGACTTAATTTCAATGTACTTGTAAGTACTTGAGTAATAGTTTACATCTACATTACATTACCATTTAAATAAAATCGTTTCATAGGCAGCTGTATGGTCCGATCTGGTCGGTTTTAATGGATTAACTATATGCTGCAAAAATGTTGGCACAAACCTTGCTCTTACCTTAACTTTGCTCAGTCACTGTAATTCTAATTGTGGGTCTTATGTAACTAAATAACATTTTTGTTTGAATAACTGCTCGCAAACATTGCAGACAATTATATGGAACTTGTTTTTGAAGTAACCACACAAAGGAGTTTGCATTTATACTTGCAATTTGCATTTGTCATTTGAACTCGGAATGCTCGATTAGAAAGCCCAATTTAAATAACTTATTCCCAATTGTGTGGAAAAAGAAAACTATGTCTTGAATCATGCTACAGATATCTGTCAATTTATTGGAATATTGGTGTTAGTGTTTGTGTATGCGTTTTTTTGTTTATCTAATAAGAAATTCGTAAGTAGAAGGACATATACTGTTACAGAAAGGTGCTTATTTAATGTTTACTCCAAAACGTGACTTAACATATACTAGTTATGACAATTAATTGAAAAGCAATTAGTTTCAAGAGCCCTTATCTTATAAACCTTCTATTGATTTACGAACATAGCAGCTGCTTTTGCAATAATCTTTCTGTTGACAAAGATTCTAAAGCCTCTACTAAAAATAATAAAGTTATTACGAAAGCTGTTGTATAGATATTGCTAAAGTGACAATATCTACAGTATGCTGATAAATTTTCATAAGTAACATCTTAAACAATTTTTCGCACACGGCAAACAAAGAAAATTAAAATTTTTATATATTTTATGATGCCATGGTTCGTTGATACCAAAAAATTGCATAGCATGAACAAGTTTGAGGCTCATTAGCTGTTAGGCGGAGAGAAGACAAAAAAGGACAACCACAGTCAGGATGATTATATAAATAAGCTATAGCTCGTAATAAATTTTAGGAAAGCTTAGCGTCGGCCTGTCCACCGCCTTACGTTCGCCCTTTTCCTTTTTCAACCACTCAGCAAAAGGTAGGAGTTTCTTTTTTTTATCAACAAGACGCAGTTTGGTAAAGAAAAAGGTAACAAGGCAGAGCCAAAAGCAAAATTGGTGACAAACTAGTAGGTAATAACATTACGGCAGCTTCTGGGTCGCAGCTACAGCCAGCTACGATGGTGCTTCTTTAAAAATTCCCTGCCGCTTGTCGTTCATTACTTACGCCCCCTTCCCATAGCCAGGCGAACATGCCACGTCGCTGTCTCGTAAAGTGCAGGATTTCATGGCGAAGCGAGTAGGTGTGAGTCCTTTCATATAATTTGGCACCCCTTTGGGTTGTTCTTTCTTTTTGGTGTGTGTTTCATGTTTCTGCAAATTTCCCGGTTTATTTTGGGGTTGTTTTTGCAATCATTCAATAGCTTTGACGCCATTTTGTTGTTTTCTTTTTAAACAAAGTTCTACATGTAAATTTCGTCGTTACAACAAATTTGCAACGCCCTGTTTACGAACTATTACTTATAATTTCTTATTTGCAAGCATAAGTTATGCATTACAGGTGCTTATTAAAAATAAAAACTCATAAAAGCTCGTAATTTATGTCAAAAACTAAAGCAATTTCCTAGTTTTCGCGGTGTCTGGCAGTTTGTAAGGTACGGCTGGCGCCAACTTTTTAAAATATTAATATGTTGTGCTGCACAACTACTAAAAGAGACATCACCAAAACATGTGCACCAGCATGTGGAAAACCATACATGCCGATACTTATATACACTGCCAAAAAATGGTCACAAAATAAATGTTATCAAATAATAATAATAATTCGTTCGATTTCACTAATCTTTATATATAAAAAACGTTTATAAAATTGCAAACATAAATTGTGTTTAAATGTCACTCTAAAAAATAATAATCTCCAATCGACTAGAAAATAGAAATCACAAATGAATAGACAAAATTGAATAAATAGTCGAATGGTATACATGATGGGGTGGCAAAGGGAATATAAATTCAGTGCAGCCGAGCAAAACTCCTTTACTAGTTGCGTACGCATGAGCTGTGTGCATGTAAAAATAGTTTACAAGCTGAAAAAAGCCGCCATAATTTGTTGATAATTGTTGTTGGACTAACTGGGAGGCACCTTACCGTTTTTACACCAGCCCAACAACAGTGAGGCTCTTGTTTTAATTGTTGCTGGCACCGTGTGAAAAATTTAATAAGTTCATGTTGTGCTGTGGCTGTACGCGTAGCGTGTTTATTTCCAGCTTGACGTACCATGAAAACACCTTGCAATTATTGTGCACGCTTGTTGGGCACACTTGGCCATGCAATGCCCGCCGACGTTGACTGTCTGACTTGCTGAATTGCATACAATTTTGTGCAGCAGTTTGGCGCACTATGCTGCATGCAACAGAAACAGAAACACTGGCAAACGCAACTGCAGTAGCAGCGGATCGTAACTACGACTGCAGTCGGCAGCGTTTAGCAGCAATTTTAATTAAATATATTTCACAAGGAGCAATTAGGGGTACTATGTCAGGATTCTTTCTTCAATTTCTGTTATATTTTCATAGCTGTGGTAATTTCTATTTAGCTAAGCTTTTCTGCATCATTTATTTTCATGGAAAAAGTTTTTCTAATGCTTAGCATATTCTATTAGTCAATTGTTTTTTGACTTTTAGCTATACTCGTATATTTATATGTTGATACACGAATTTACAAAAGCTTTATCTACCGCAACAACGGCACCTTTTTAAGTTTCCGTGAATGAATTGAAAGGGAATTCAGCCTTTCACGGTGTCTTGGTTCCAAACAAATATATTGCTGAAAATTATACAAATATGTTGGGAATTTGATTAAAATATGACGTGTTGTTGAAGTCCTGTTTTCAAAATTACTATAAAAATTGATAGCTTGAATTTGAGCAAAGTTAGTTCACCCTTTTGTGCATCGTGCAAATTGAAAAAACTGGTGACGGTAATTATGCCCAACATTTGCTTTCATTATACTTTTAATGCGACGATACCCATTGTACCCATATATGTGATGTTTTGGCATTTTGTTGGCTTTATTCTCGTAGCCATTTTTGGACTCGATTTCATTGTGTTAACGAAAAAAGGGGTTGGAAAAATATACATATCACAAAGCCTTCCAGCCGATGTGTTTCATCAGAAAAGTTTTGAGTTTCCTAAGCTAATTGAAACGAGAACGGTGTTTGCTGCTTTTTCACAAAAAATTAAATTAAAAAACTCTTTTTCATACATTTTTGAAAGCCAACAAGTTTTAATAAGGTCAAAGGCGAAATTAAAACTGTCAAAAATGAACAGTAGAAGAATAAATGGGCATATGTGTGGGTGGGTTTTTTTTTGTAAATGTTGCCTACTTTCGAGGGAACACACAATTTTAATTTAATGTTCATGCTTGCCAGCTTGGGTGCATAAATCACTTGCTGACGTGACTTTTAAGCATACAAAGATTAATTTACTTTTCTCTTTCACTCATTTACAGAGCCACACCTACTGGCAGCGCTAGGACCAAGCGCCTTGCTACAACACCATATCAATGTTAATTGAATAAAAACAATAATTGTTTGTGGTTTGTGGGCTTTTTTACAAGCACACGACAGCAGACATACACCAAACCTGTAGACTCAACTACTTGGCATGAGTGTGGCAAAGGCAATGCAAACTAAGACCAGCTGCACCCCCTACCCGCAAATGTTCGGTTATAGCAGACGCCGGCTTAGCTTGCTGTGGCTCACAGCATTGCTTCTGCTGCTACTTCAATTTTGCGTTCACACCCATAGCTACCTAATTATTGTGCATGAGGGGACGCCTCCCGGTTCCGTCATCTTCAACGCTTCCGTGTACAAATTGGGCTCGGAGCGTCTCTATAAAATAAATGCACATAAGTCGGCCAACTTTGTGCACCACCTAGTCGCGGTCAGCCACAAGGATGGCCAAATACATTTAAAGAAATCGCTTAAGTGCGATGGCATCTATTATCCAAATCTGTTTACTTTCTATGTGGACTCAACTTCCAGTCGTCTGCGTAGCATTGATTACTACAGTCTGCCAGTGCGCATTTTCATCTCGGGCCACAATTGCAACGAGGATAGACGCATTGAACAGCAACTGCATCATCAGCATTATGAGGAGGAGGACAACACAGGGTATTCAAAGCGCAGACGGCGACGTTATGCGGTGCAACCACCTCATCTCAGTGAACAGCAGCTGCTGCTTTATGGCAACCAGCTGGAGAGCCTGAAGGAAGTGGCAGTGCAGTTAAATAATCACAGTCATAGTCGCACTGATTTTCGAGACGGTGATTTGATCTTTGGTGATAGCTTTGACAACGAGATGCGTCATCGCATATTAAGCCGTAAGCGTCGAGGAGTGGCAGATCCACTGCACTTAGAGCCGGCGCTTCATAGACGAGTGTCAGATGCGAAGCAGTGGATTTCAGAAACGTACGCATCATATGCTATACATACGACAGACAAGTGGAACCAAATCTGCTTGCGAAAGTCCCAGTTTATCAACAACCTTAATTCCTTTTTGCCGAAAAGCGTATGCCAGTACTGTAATGTTAATTTTCTCGATGTGAACGACGAGCGTTTTGCCATCGAGCATCAGAATCGTGATTTGGTTGCCAGTCGAGATGTGTGCATACATGAGTCAATGTGGAAGGTCAGCATTACATTCAATATACGTTGCAATCGCAACGATATAGTTGACTCTGATCACCGTCTGAAGATTGTCTATCATCATCAAGAATTCAATGATACGGATATTGCAAAACGCGTACGACGCGAACTGCGTAATCAGTCGCCGTATTTTGAGCAAGCCTTGTACGTAGCCTCTGTGCTGGAGGAGCAACCGGCAGGTGTTGCAGTAACGACAGTACGCGCACGTGATCCCGAGGACTCGCCAGTTGTATATTCTATGGTCTCACTATTGGATTCGCGATCGCAGTCTCTATTCAAAGTAGACTCGCGTTCTGGCATGGTTACAACCTCTGCTAGTCTGGATCGAGAGCTAATGGATGTGCATTACTTCCGAGTAGTTGCTACTGATGATAGTTTTCCGCCGCGCTCGGGAACAACAACCCTGCAGGTAAACGTGTTGGATTGTAATGATCATAGTCCGTCCTTCGAAGCAGAGCAGTTTGAAGCAAGCATACGGGAAGGTGCGACTGTTGGCTCTACGGTTATTACATTGCGCGCTACGGATCAGGACATTGGAAAAAATGCAGAAATTGAGTACGGCATCGAGGCAGTTACGGGTAAGTGGCCATACGTAAGATGTATAAAGTATATCCAGTGGGTAATTATCTTTATATTGAGCAAAGAAAGTCTCTCTGTTTGTCTGTATATTAGTCTTTTCGAGATCGCTATTTATAGCAAAGGTTAGTGGACGGAAGTTAATTTGTTCTAATTGAAAATACTTTTAAAAATTCCGTCAACAAAATTGAAATTCGAAATTTGAAACGAACTTAAATCGTTTCTTGTAGTGTCTATGAATTGGAAAAATGTTACAGTTGGATTAAAACAGATGACCTCCTGCTGATTAACACTTGATTGTCATAAATAAAATTGCAAAGTAACAAATGGAAAATTCTTTCAGATGGCACAGGTACTCCGCAGGACCAAGAGATGCCTATTTTTCGCATAGACTCCCGTTCCGGCGTAGTCTCTACGCGCAGCAGCTTAGATCGCGAGACATCTGACAGCTATCATTTGACTGTGACAGCGTCCGATATGGCGTCGGCGCAGAGCGAGCGTAAAACAGCGACAGCTAGTGTATTGATAAAAATCTTGGATGACAACGACAACTATCCACAGTTTAGTGAACGCACCTACACTGTCCAAGTACCAGAAGATCAATGGGGTGACGATAATACAGTTGCTCATATACGTGCAACAGATGCCGATCAGGGAAACAATGCTGCCATACGGTATGCAATAATTGGAGGGAACACGCAGTCCCAATTCTCTATTGACTCTATGAGTGGGGACGTAAGTCTGGTGAAGCCGCTAGATTACGAAAATGTGCGCAGCTACCGCTTGGTCATACGGGCTCAGGACGGCGGCAGTCCGTCCCGTAGCAATACCACGCAGCTGCTGGTCAATGTCATCGATGCTAATGATAATGCGCCGCGATTCTATACGTCACAATTTCAGGAGTCTGTACTGGAAAATGTGCCAGTGGGATACAATATTATTCGCGTGCAAGCCTACGACTCTGATGAAGGTGCTAATGCAGAGATTAGTTATAGCATTTCAGAAAGAGACGACAACTTTCCTCTGGCAGTGGATCCAAGAACTGGTTGGGTGCAAACCATCAAGCAGCTAGATCGGGAAGAGCAAAATCGCTTTGCCTTTCAAGTGGTGGCTAAAGATGGAGGGGTCCCACCAAAATCAGCCAGCTCATCGGTCGTTATTACAGTGCAGGACGTCAATGATAACGACCCCACCTTCAACCCAAAATATTATGAAGCCAACGTTGGTGAAGATCAGCCACCAGGCACACCTGTCACCACAGTAATAGCGACAGATCCAGATGAAGATTCACGCTTGCATTACGAGATTACTACGGGAAATACACGCGGTCGTTTCGCCATAACCTCACAAAATGGCCGAGGGCTGATAACCATTGCACAATCGTTGGACTACAAGCAGGAGAAACGTTTTTTGCTTACAGTTACAGCAACAGACTCTGGCGGTCGCACAGATACTGCAACAGTGCACATAAACATTACGGATGCTAATAACTTTGCACCTATTTTTGAGAATGCTCCGTACAGCGCATCAGTTTTTGAGGATGCACCTATTGGGACAACTGTGCTGGTTGTTTCTGCTACGGATAGTGACGTCGGAATAAATGCTCAGATAACCTACTCGCTCAACGAAGAGAGCATAAATGGACTGGGCAGTTCGGATCCGTTTTCGATCAACCCACAGACAGGCGCCATTGTGACTAGTGCTGCTTTGGATCGGGAAACCACCAGCGGTTATCTGTTAACTGTAACTGCCAAGGATGGTGGTAATCCTTCACTTAGTGATACAACCGATGTAGAGATAAGCGTAACCGACGTCAACGATAATGCGCCGTCTTTCAAGAATCCTCTCTATCAAGCCTCTATTTTGGAAGATGCACTTGTTGGTACCTCAGTGATACAAGTTTCTGCTACTGATCCAGATATTGGGCTCAATGGGCGTATAAAATATATGCTTAGTGACCGTGATGTGGAAGATGGTTCCTTTGTCATCGATCCCACATCGGGCACCATACGAACAAATAAAGGACTAGATCGTGAAAGCGTGGCCACTTATCACTTAACAGCTATAGCTGTGGATAAAGGATCTCCACCAATGTCTAGTACCGTTGAGGTTCAAATCCGATTGGAGGATGTCAACGACTCGCCGCCTACATTTGCCTCGGATAAAATTACACTGTATGTACCGGAAAATTCACCTGTGGGCTCTGTGGTAGGTGAAATACATGCCCATGATCCCGACGAAGGAGTAAATGCAGTAGTGCACTATTCAATTATTGGTGGCGATGACTCTAACTCCTTCTCACTTGTCACTCGTCCCGGCTCAGAACGTGCTCAGCTGCTTACCATGACCGAACTGGATTATGAATCCTCACGTAAGCGCTTCGAACTCGTTGTACGGGCAGCTAGTCCACCTCTGCGTAACGACGCGCATATCGAGATTCTGGTCACAGATGTTAATGACAACGCCCCGGTATTGCGCGATTTTCAAGTGATATTTAACAATTTCCGGGATCATTTTCCCAGCGGAGAAATCGGACGCATTCCAGCCTTCGATGCCGACGTCAGTGACAAGCTAAACTATCGGATCCTTTCCGGAAACAACGCGAACCTCCTACGTCTCAACAGTAGCTCGGGAGGTCTCATACTCAGTCCGCAGCTTAACACGAATGTGCCAAAGTTTGCCACCATGGAAGTATCCGTGTCGGATGGCATCAACGAAGCGAAAGCCATCATGCAGCTGTCCGTTCGATTAATAACTGAGGATATGCTCTTCAATTCTGTCACCGTTCGTCTAAATGAAATGACCGAGGAAGCGTTTCTTTCGCCGCTGCTGAACTTTTTCCTGGATGGTCTGGCAGCCATTATTCCCTGTCCGAAGGAACACATATTCATTTTCTCTATACAGGATGATACCGATGTTACTTCACGGATCCTCAATGTGAGCTTCTCGGCTAGACGACCGGATGTCTCACATGAAGAGTTCTATACGCCGCAATATCTTCAAGAACGGGTTTACCTTAATCGCGCTATATTTGCTCGCTTGGCCACTGTTGAAGTGCTACCCTTCGATGATAATCTATGTGTGCGAGAGCCCTGCTTAAATTACGAGGAGTGTTTGACGGTTTTAAAGTTTGGCAATGCCTCCGAATTTATACACAGCGATACAGTTCTATTCAGACCTATTTATCCTGTGAACACGTTTGCTTGCTCATGTCCCGAAGGATTCACGGGCAGCAAGGAACATTATTTGTGCGATACAGAAGTGGATCTTTGTTACTCAGATCCATGTCTGAACGGTGGTACTTGCATGCGACGCGAAGGTGGCTACACTTGCGTCTGCTCACCATCACATACTGGTGCCAACTGCGAGACAAGTATTAGTAAGCTGCGAACTTGCATGTCTGATGCTTGCGAGGGAGGACTAAGCTGCATGAACAATTTTCTTAGTTCCCAACCACCCCCATATACATCGACATGTGAACTGCGGGCACGCTCCTTTTCGCGGAACTCGTTTCTCACTTTTGAAAGCCTTAAGCAACGGCATCGCTTCAACCTGAAGTTAAGGTTTGCAACAGTGCAGGACAACGGACTTTTACTCTACAATGGGCGTTACAATGAGCTGCACGACTTTATTGCACTAGAAATATTATCGGGCCATGTGACTTTCTCATATTCGCTCGGCGACAAGACCAACAGCGTGTCAGTAATTCAACAGAACAAGGTATCGGATGGAAAGTGGCACGAGGTAGAAATCGCCTACCTGAATCGGACAGTCACTCTAATTCTGAACAAGTGTGATACGGCCATTGCACTAGCTGGCCATTTGGGCGATCGTTGGAGTTGCGCCAACCAAACCACGTTGCTGCTAGACAAGCGTTGTGCTTTACTTACGGAGACCTGCCATCGTTTCCTCGATCTGACTGGTCCATTGCAATTGGGTGGCTTGCCACGTATACCTGCAAATTTTCCTGTCTCTAATCGGGATTTTGTTGGCTGCATTTCGGATTTGCGCATTGACGATCGATACGTGGATCTGAATTCATATGTAGCGGATAATGGTACGATATCGGGATGTCCGCAAAAGGCTTCGCTTTGCTCCTCGGAACCCTGCTTTAATGGTGGCAAGTGTCACGAGGGATGGAATATCTACACTTGCGAATGTCCTGAAGGCTATGCAGGCAATAATTGCCAGGATATTATTCCAGCACCTTGGCGCTTTTCCGGCGATGGCAGTCTCAGCTTCAATCCGTTGCTGCGTCCTATTCAGTTGCCCTGGCTTACCTCATTCTCTATAAGAACGTGGCAACGAGACGCCTTCCTCTTCCAAATACAAATAGGGCAGAACAGCTCCGTTGTGATTTGTCTAAAGAACGGTGTAATTTACTATATCTACGATAATGAACCCATGTATTTGGCGGGTGCCTATTTGGCAGATGGTGAGTGGCACCACATTGAGATTAAATGGCTGGGTGCAGAAATACAGTTCTCCGTGGATTACGGCCAGCGTACTGGTGCTGTACCAATGTCACAGAAAGTACAAGGTCTTTATGTTGGAAAAATTGTGATAGGCAATGTTGATGGTACCATTGGATCGGTGCAAGATGCAGTGCCTTTTGAAGGTTGCATACAGGATGTTCGCATAGGAGCAGGACAGTCGGTTCTTTCTCGCCCTACCATACGTGAGAATGTAGAGGACGGCTGTGCATCACGCGCCGAGTGTCCTAGTTCCTGTCCACTGCACTCTACCTGCCAAACGCAATGGGATGGATCAAGCTGCGAGTGTCTCTCTGGTTATGTGGGTCCTGAGTGCTCCCCCATATGCACAGTTAAGCCCTGCATGGCTGGAACTTGCCGAGCCAACGTCAGTGAGCCCCGCGGATACCATTGTGAGTGCAACAGCACCTACCAGCATGGCGACTATTGCGAGCGCACTGTACAACAGCCCTGTCCTGGTGGTTGGTGGGGTGAGCGCGTATGTGGACCCTGCAAGTGCAATCTGAAGCAGGGCTACCATCCAGATTGCAACAAAACAACAGGACAATGTTATTGCAAAACGAATCACTATCAGCCGCTCAATGAGACGGCGTGTCTGGCTTGCGACTGTTACTCCATTGGGTCCTTTAACAGCGCTTGCAACAGGCTGACGGGCCAGTGCGAATGTCGGGAAGGTGTGATTGGTAGACGTTGTGACTCTTGCTCAAATCCTTATGCCGAAGTTACGCTAAATGGCTGCGAGGTTGTCTATGACGCTTGTCCACGCTCTTTTGCTGCAGGTATTTGGTGGCCTCGCACACCATTGGGAAGCACCACCATTGAGAATTGCCCCTCACCAGCTCGGGGAAAGGGACAACGAAATTGTGACAGCAACACAGGTAGTTGGGGACCGCCGGACATGTTTAACTGTACTTCTGATCCATTTGTGGAACTGCGCAGGCAACTGTCCCAGCTGGAGAAATTTGAGTTAGAGCTAAATTCATTCGTGGCTATCAAATTGGCAGAGAATTTGCAGAATGCCTGCCAGACTGTAGATCGCAACAGCATGCCGAAAAAACCACAGCTCAAGGACAATCGGCGTTACAAAATGGAGTCGTCTTTCTTGTTAAATGAAGGCAATAATGTATGGTCGCATGAATTGGACATGGACTACCTCTCGGATGAATTGAAGTTCACGCATGATCGCTTGTACGGCGCAGATCTACTTATTACCGAAGGTATTTTGCAAGAGCTGATAAACTATGAACTTATGCAAAGCGGCCTAAATCTGTCCCATAGTCAGGATAAGTATTTTATAAAGAATTTGGTAGATTCTGCCAGCGTCATCTTGGATCGCAAATACGATGGTGAATGGAAACGCGCCACAGAACTCATACAACGTGGTCCAGATGACCTTGTAGATGCCTTTAACAAGTATATGGTGGTGCTAGCGCGATCGCAGCATGACACTTACACGAATCCCTTCGAGATTGTGCAGCACAATATGGTGTTGGGCCTAGACATCATTACCACAGAATCGCTTTTTGGCTACGAACCGGAGCAGCTAAGTGAATATCACAAGACGAAGTACCTGAAGCCAAATGCCTTTACAACAGAGAGTGTGATTCTACCCGATACAAGCGGCTTTTTGCAACACTCGTCTAAGCAAAAGCCCGTAATTACATTCCCCAAGTACAACAATTATATTCAAGACAAGCACAAATTTGACAAATATACTAAAGTGCTTGTTCCTTTAGAAATGCTTGGTATCACGCCACCGGATAGCAATGAAGTGACGCAGGGCAAGAATGCTGACCACCGCGCTATAGTCGCTTATGCACAATACAAGGATGTTGGTCAGCTGTTGCCAGAACTTTTCGATGAGACTATTACACGTCGCTGGAGCGTCGATGTGGAGGTAGCTACACCCATTTTGTCTCTGCAAATCCTCGTGCCGTCATCAGAGCGAGAAGAAAAACACTTCGAAATACCTTCTCGCAAAATATCATCTTCCCAAAAAACTATCTCGAGCAGCACAGGTAGCACAGAACAGGAATTTGTCGAAGTTTTCGACGTGCCCAAGACTCCAACGAGCAGCACTGGTAGCAGTGAACACATGATTGAGGATATACGTATTACTGCTCATGAAATACCACCTCCAGCATCCAAGGAGCATATAGACACCAGCAGCAACGAGGCTGCAGAAGAGGAAGAACCACACATTCGCGTCAACTTTGATGACATTGAGTTTCACGGAAATTCTGGTGAGGAAGTAGCTAGCTCGCCAGAACTGCTAAATCCGAACTATGAAGGGGACAGCAATGAACAGCCCAAAGGCGAAAATGATGCCATCTATCGAGATCGTCGTTTGGTCAAACGTCAAGTAGAGATAATTTACCCATCGGACCAAGTGCAGGCACCGCAACACGTGATATATCGATCACTTGGGTCGCCCCACCTTTCCCAGCCTATTAAGCTGCAAATGTGGTTAGACATTGATGCTACACGCTTTGGACCACGTTCTAATCCGCAGTGTGTGCGCTGGAACTCCTTCACCAACCAGTGGACACGACTCGGCTGCCAAACGGAAATACCCGACTTCGATAGCGATTACTCGCAGAGCCAGCAGCATGGACAGTTTCCCATTATTGTCAATTGCACGTGCACACACATCTCAAGCTACGCCGTAATTGTGGACATCATTGATCCCGAGGATATCCCAGAGCCGTCACTGCTTGTGCAGATCACATCGTACTCAGCGTTTATGGTATCTTTGCCACTGTTGTTGGGCGTTCTGGTGGCACTGGCGCTGCTACGAGGACAGCAGACCAACTCAAACACCATTCACCAAAATATTGTACTCTGCATCTTCTTTGCCGAGCTGCTTTTCTTCGTCGGCATGCAGTCGCGTCGACATCTGCTTGAGAACGAATTCCCCTGCAAGCTCATAGCCATTTGCCTGCACTATTTCTGGCTAGCGGCATTTGCGTGGACAACCGTCGACTGCGTGCACTTGTACCGAATGTTGACGGAGATGCGCGATATTAATCACGGTCCGATGGGGTTCTATTTTGCAATGGGCTATGGCGCACCAGCTGTGGTGGTCGGACTATCCGTTGGTGTTCGTGCACACGAGTATGGAAACAGTCTATTGTAAGTATTATTACACATGCACAGTGTAGTGTCACACACTCATTATTTGGAGCCTCACGTAATGCCATTTTTAATTGCAGCTGTTGGCTATCCGTGTACGAGCCTGTGGTCTGGTGGCTAGTCGGACCAATTGCCGGCATGTCTCTGGTCAATTTGCTTATATTATTTGTGTCGGTGAAGGCCGCTTTTACGCTCAAGGATCATGTGTTGGGATTTGGCAATTTACGCACGCTACTTTGGCTTTCGGTGGTTTCGCTGCCCTTAATGGGTGTGATGTGGGTATTGGCCGTATTAGCTGCTTCGGAAAACTCTCAGCTTTTAAGTCTACTGCTTTCTGGTGTGGTTGTTCTCCATGCTTTATTCTGCCTAATTGGATACTGCATCATTAACAAGCGAGTTCGCGAGAATTTACAACGAACTTGCCTACGATGCATGGGTCGAAAAGTGCCTCTGCTTGACTCCTCTATGGTTGTGAGCAATAGCTCACATAACGTGAACGGTGCGGCCAGACCAAACAACTTCCTAGCTGGAAACTATGACACGAGCAGGCGCAATATTGGCATAAGTGCATCCAGTACAACGTCACGCAGTACAGCTAAGACGAGTTCTAGTCCTTATAGGTAAGTAAAAAGCATTAGGTGGCATGCTCCTTAAATCTAATTGCTTTGCATTATCTACCCCTTCTTAGCGATGGGCAACTGCGTCAAACTTCTACATCGACTTCAAACTACAATTCAGCAAGCGATGGGCCTAGTTTCCTACGCGGCTTTGATTCTTCAACCACTGGCCGCAGCCGTGAAGAAAAGACACGCCGTCAACGTAAGGATTCGGATTCAGGCTCGGAAACAGATGGCCGCTCACTGGAACTGGCGTCAAGTCATTCCAGCGACGACGACGAGTCGCGGACAGCCCGCTCGTCTGCCACACATCGAAGCACAGCAATTAGTGCGACGCCTGCATATTTACCAAACATCACAGAGCACGTGCAGGCCACAACTCCTCCCGAATTAAATGTGGTACAAAGCCCTCAACTATTTCCGAGCGTTAACAAGCCCATCTATACGCCGCGATGGTCGAGCCAACTACCCGAGGCTTATTTGCAAAGTCCGCCAAATATTGGGCGCTGGTCACAGGATACCGGCTCTGATAATGAGCACGTGCACGGCCAGAAAATGACCATTTCACCTAATCCTTTGCCTAATCCTGATCTCACCGATACTAGTTATCTACAGCAGCATCACAACAAGATAAACATGCCACCTTCAATACTAGAAAATATACGGGATGCGCATTGTACAGACCACGGCTACGAAGACAGTTTGTATGGGCGACGGGGCGAATACCCGGAAAAATATGGCTCGTATAAGCCACCTAGTCACTATGGCAGTGAGAAGGACTATCCAGGCGGAGGCGGTGGCTCACAAATTGTGGGCCACTTGCGCACTTTTCATCCAGATGCGGCCTATCTCAGCGACAACATTTATGAAAAGCAGCGTCCATTAGGAAGCGGATATTTGGGGGCCAAGTCCGAGTCGCCTTATCTGTCAAAGGATCGCATTACTCCCGACATATATGGCTCCCGGGATGGGCACTACAGCCTCAAACGTCAGCCTACCTACACCACCGACTCTCTGCACTCCGTGCACTCGCTGCTCAAGAACGATTATCAGCAGCAAAAGCAACAGTTGCCGACACAGATACACACGATGCCACGGCAGCCAGGTGATTATCACTCAGATCGTCTGTCCGAAGGCTCAGACAAAAATGGCTATCATTTTCCTTACACCGCCGAGGAGGATCATCTACAGACAGCCCGAAAGCTTAGCCACACACAACCACCGTCTTTGCATGGATCGCAGCAGCTTCATAGCGGCCATCTCGGACATGGACATGCTACAGGACTTGTGAACGACATGAATAATCCAGGCTTATTGGCCCGTCATCCGCTCAACGCAAGTGGTGGGTCGCGGCACAGCTCCCGGGCCTCTTCACCCCCTTCAGGTATGGTGGCGACCATGCAACCGCTAGGGCCCCTCGCCAGCATCACAGACACTGAGTAAGTAGCTGGCAAACACAGTTGTTTTCTAGTTTCGGTTTCTTGTTATCGTTTGCGTTTCGATGTCTAACCATTCATTTCTTTTTCCTTGTGTAATGAGTTTGGTTAAGTTGCGGTTTTGGGTGCTGGGTGATAAACCACAAGTGAACAAACTTTGGCCTAAACACATCCCTAACCAGCTTATGCTTTTGTACTCAATGTGAATCAAACTCCTGTATTTCTTATGTTTGTGGTTTTAGTTCAAAGGCCTTATACATTTACAGTTGCAGCTGTATTTTATTTTGAAGATGTGTTTTTTTAGTTATTTTTTTCGTTTTTATTTTCTAACTTGCTTAAAGCCCAAAAATTAATCCTACATATATCAATTGATTCTCATTTTCTTTTCTACATGACATCTGCCATAAAAAAAAATCCAACTACAATAAAAACAAATAATTTCCAATCATGGGTTGCGCCTCAAAACCTTATCGAAAACAACAATTCAAACAAAAAACAACAAAAATGAATATAATGCAATGATATGATACAAACATTTTTGATGCGCACACACATACTCGAATACCATTAAAAAAAACTCACACACACACGCACACTCACATGCCATGCTCATGCAAAACTTTCAGCTGGTCCTGGGAACGTTTAAAACAAATCTAATTTGACTATCTTTCACTTCTATTCTCTTCAACTTTTGCTCTGCTCTGAAATGCTTTGTGCTTTGAAAAACACAACAATTTACAAACAAATCCACATATACACACACACACACACACACACACACACACACACACACACATACACATACACATGCACATCAACTGAAATCCTTGCATCGCAAAACAATGGTGGCTGTTTGCGCGCCAACTTCTTAACAACAAACATGCAACCAACTACAACTCGACACACTGACAACTTGCAACTACTCAACAGCTCAGAGGTAAACCACAATCAATCGAATTTAAAAGCTACACTACTCTCATCATTTTTCATCATTGACTGTATATTTTAAAGCAACATTTTTGTCCTTCTCTATATAATTTAAGCGCACACAATTTCTGTTGTTTGGTTTAATTTTAAAACTTGTACAAATAATTGTAAATACGTATTATTTTCGCACAGTTATCACATAAGTTAAATATGAAACGACCATTTAACTGTAAATACATTCGTCGCATTATAAAATTGCAATTGCATCAGATCTGCTCAATCGATTTATTTGAAATATTAATTTTTAAATTTATGCTTTAATTGCACAAACATTAAGCGTCAGACACCAAACCAAAGCTACTACCATTACAACAAAACTTATTGCCAAACACACATCTACACATTTCCACAGTTCGACATTATTTGGCTGCAACGCAGACAGAGGCGGCAACAATATCCTTGGTCATTGAAAATATGGTACCAGAATATGTACACGACAAACTTCTATTTAACTAAAAGTCTTTCCCTAGCCTTGCACATTCAAGCTACCGATCAAAAATTAATGTAAACATTCGCACAAATTGGAAATATTACTATATACTCGAGGCTTTCACATACTCGCTCGCTAGGAGCGCAGATAAATTGAATAAAAACACACATATTCGTATAGTTAGGCAATAAAAACGAAAAAAATCATGGCAATTTAATGATTAATATTAGAGCTGTATTTACATTTGCCGAGAACAATAAAACAGTAATTTCAATTTATTAATTAGCGATGAGATGCTCGAGGATGTTTAAAAAAGCAAACATGTATAATATGTAATTACTGTATCCCCACTCCATTTACTATAAATTGCAAAAGAGGGCAGTATCTGAAAACATAGCATTACTGCAAATTAAAATGACAATAAATTAGTTTCCCTCAGTGACACAAAATCCCTATGCAAAAGCTCTACACCTAAACAGAATCACTCACCTACTATTACATACAAAAACACAATACACATAAAATGCATTTACACGTACATTTAAGCTATTAATTTCTATATATTCTGAATTCTGAATGTGCAGACATTTGAATCAGTGCGATTTCTTCTCTTATCTTTTATTTGAATTGTTTATCATTTTCGTAATTACATACAATTTAATGGCAATTTGGTACTTCTTTGGCATGCATAAATATTTTAACACACATATACTATAGTAGTGAACGACATTCTATCTTGCACGCAATTTTCAAATGTTTGTGCATGTTTGTAGACGGCTTTGCGTACGAGATGTTGACCGAAGATTAGGTAAAGTTTCAATTGAAAGTAAATATTTAATATTTATATTTCCCTGTTTGCCTTTCTTGCGATACAGGCGGAATATTGATGATGACGAAACCACGGTGTGACGACTGCCTAGCAATGTGCAACCACAAAAGAAGCAATGCACTAAAAGCAACATGAACAGATTTGCAACAATTAGACGCAAGCCTCAATATAAAATAAACATAAATTGTTAAGGCTTGCAGCTTAAGTGCTGCTTATTTTCGCCCCGAAGAAGAAAAAGCTTAAATAAGATGCTACAAGAAACTGCAAATCTAAATCAAATCTATTCTTGGCAATATTAAACAATGAACTATTTTGCAGCTATCTGTATATTAATTTGCTTAAATTCAATATACATGACTGGAGAAACCACATTTGTAAATAACCTACACCTACACATAATATTACATACGTAGAGGCCTCTAACGTAATAACTAGTATACCAACATACCATCAAAAACAAACAATATAGGTATATTTTTTAGCTTCTTAATTCATAAACACAATATCATTGATAAGCCATATATAATTTAATTAAATATGGTGCACGTTTGATGGAGTGAACTATTTCAGAATATCAAATGTATATATAGCTAACCAAAGTGCGTCAGTTTTGAAATTTATCACATTACTGCCCAGGTCTAACTCCCTTTGTGATGCGAATCACCACCGTTTTATTACATATTTGGGAAAGTTGGGAAAAATGCAATAATGCTTTCCATTATTTCAAATGGCATTATATTTTCGCACTTTGGTGCGTTGAATATGATAATAATTTGGAGAGGGGCTCATATAAACGCATGTTCACTCTTTAAAGCGTGCACCGAATATTCATATTTATGAAAGCGTACTAAATATTTCGATGTTTAGTCAATTAGTATAAAACCTATTATATTTAAAAGAAGTCAGACTGATTTTATGCATTTTTTTGGATTACATTTAGGATCTGTATGGTGACGATTAACAAGAAAAAGGTTATAGAAAAGCACTTGATTCCATTTTAAGGCCTAACTGAGGGGAATTTTTAAATACATCACTTTGTTCCAAATTCTCATCAATTCAGTTCCGGTAAATACGTGTAATCAGTTAGCAAGAGGAGTTTAGGGAGTAAAACCGAAATGTTGTGTGCCTCAACTTACATACTCATATGGAGCTTATCATGCCAAATTCGTTGAAACATGTAAATGAAAGAATATTTGATTTAATTTGCATAGCTGCAACACACGTTGCCATTTAGTTGCAAATGGGAAGCACAAGCAATTAAGTATTTAATAAATATCCAAAACGCAAAAACGCACGCCTGTCATAACAATGGAAATGTACAATAAAGCCGTACAAAATTGAAGCGCTTAAACTACATGAGTGCGTGTACGTACATAACAAATCAAATTATATTTGTAAAGTAAACAATATAGTATACACAAATTGTATACAGACCGACATGAAATATTGTAAAACAATCTACACAAAAACACACACACACACATATCCACCAGCAAATATTTATATGTCTGTAATTTAAATTGCATCTTAGCCATTGTGTGGGCCCCTTGAGTCTGTAGGCAGGCTTATTAAAGGCTGTATTCGCACACAGTATTTAGCTACCAATTGACCAAAATTCTCTCTCAAAGGAGAAGGAGGCAGCTATTAATAAAATATTAACTGCGCAAAAATAGTTAAATATGAGAAATAATGTATTGAAATGTGCTTCAACTTCGCAAAACGCTTAATTTGGTGTAGCATAGTGTATTGCTTATGTATGTCGAAAAGGAATTCATTTCTACAAGAACCCAAATGTTTGTAGTAACACCGAGTTATGATATTTATTAAAAGTGGAGAAATCCATAGCATTTATGTGAATTGACTTATTTAATTGTACAATATTAAGCAAATTTATCGATATACAATAAATTGAATTAAAATGTGTAAAATAAATAAAATACTCATTAAATGTTTTAGTAAGAAATGAAAACGGGTAAGTCCAAATTAATTTTAGGTTCAACTGTATTCCTTAAACTATTTAATTTGCGTATTTTAGCCTGTATCCAACAGATGAAATGGTATACTATATGTGCTCGCAACACAAAAGGAGGTAGACCTCACAGAATATACATACGAGAGAGATCTTCGAAAGCATTAAAGCTAGAGTCATAAAACTTGATAGGCAGGCGCAGTGCCAGGAATCTTTGTATACTCGCGCTGTGCTCGAAACTTAACATCACATTTTGCCTTTACTGTATTCTTCGCTAGTCTGGTGTTAGGTTTTGTCCTTTCAGAGCAGCCTCAGGACTCTCCTGCACGTTTACAGCATTCTTTCTTTATTGGTATACATAAAGCAAAAGCACACAAGTATACTTACCAAATAAAACCAAACAACAATGGGATAATTCACCACATTCCTGGTAAATGCAAATGTTGTAACAATGGACTCATTTTTGACAAACACGTGTTGGTTACGATATTTTAAAAGCAAGAATCGTATTTTCACACCAACTCTAACGCACCTGTGTAAAACTTGCTCGTCTGCACAATTTAAATACAAATGAGAAATTATTCAAAAATATACCAAATATGTATGCAAAAACATAACATTTAATTATCATGATTGGAAATTGACTACCTTTTCGAATTTGAACAAGCAAATTATTTTTATCAATCATAAATTTTAAAACTATAAATAATAATTGGAAAGCAAAATCTTAATAAAAGTTGTTAATACAATACAAGAAGACGTGCAGAGCTTTACGAGTATTACCTTTTTACCCAACCTAAATAGTCGTTTTAATTTGTATTCATCTTTATATTTGTCTGCGTTTTTTGTGTGTTATTAATCGAGTTGCCTGCACCAGAGTACAATAATAAATAGGTCTGTAAGTTCACTTTGTTATTTTGAATAATTTCAATACATATTCATTTGGTATTCAAAAACAAACACTAATTACATATGTATATATTTGTATTATAGTTTTATACGCAATTATTTATATTAGAACATAATAATTCTCTTTGTATATTCAAATACATAATACCCTCAATATCGTCATAGTATGAGTAGGTATTTATGCATTGCGTGTTCTGTTTAGGTATGTATTTGTATATTAAAAACCGTAATTGATTAATTTAATATTTTCTGTATACTTTGTTCAATTTTACGATTGTTACATTTGAATTTAAATACAATGAAGGTAATTTGTATTTCATGTTATTACATTTCTTGGTTGCTAAGTAGTTTTCACCCACACAGCAATAATTTATTCATTTTACTTTTCAGTTAGGTCTTTCTATTTGTAATGCAACAATACAGCTAGGATTTCGCTCATAAAAGCATAACCGACAGATGCATAACAACACATACATTAATAATGTTTTTCTTTAAATGATTTTTACAAATAGTTCATATGCCAATTGTTTAGTGTGTGTCATCTGTGTTTTTAAGGCATTTTTAATAAATCAATAATTCCTCAATCCTTATGTGTTGTTTATTTTTGCAACAGCGTTGCAGCAATATACACGTACACTGTAATAATAACGATCTCGCACATGGTATTTTATAGTAAGTAGTTGTTATATATATTTTTTAGACATTATTTATTCGTCTCGTTGTGTTGTGCAGTTGGAAACTACCTATTACTGATTACATGCAATCTGTAGGGTATTTGGGGTATTTATAATACAGCGATATGCTCTTTATTATTTCAATTGAAACACCATTTTTATAATATTTTGACGCATTTGTCCAATCGTTCAGCGATTTTGTTTTAACTATAGTACAAATTTGTTAGTACTTTTCAGTTTCTTGTTACTCAGTTTTTGAAGCGAGAAGTCAGGCAGAGCTGAATTTGAGTGTAAAGCTTAATATTTTACCGATGGCCAATGCACGAATAAGTGCACCCAAAAGAAAAAGCGTGGCAGCATTTGGCTTACTCTTCTTTTCCTTAAAAATCATAAAAGGCAATTAATAAATACATATATAGTATAGTTATCAAAATGTGCATATAAAATAGTAGGTTATTAAATGAAATAAATGCACCAATTTCTCTTGTGACTTGCTGAACTGTGCAGTGGCACGGTGGGTTTCATATTAAAAGTAAATTAAAATAATTGTAATAGTTGTGCGATGCGTGTGTATTAAATATTTGAGAATATTTTGCAGCCTATGGCAATGACCGATTTTGAACTAATATACAAATGTGTTCATACATATGTGCCAAAAAAGTAATAGTCCCTTAAGTGTGTCTTTTCCTGCTTCGTGGATGTGCAGCCACATCTATGTATGTCTATTCAGACGATGCTTTTAATACAATTATTAAAATGCTAGCTTCCATTATTGTACGAGAATGTGTGTGTTGATGTCCGTTATTGTCCACAATTGCCAACTTCGAATCTGTTGATATTATTATAGCATTGCAGTCAGCGTACGCCCATAACTCCCAAGTACATAACTCCCAACCGCTGTTGCAAGTTATTATATGAAATTTCATTTATCAGAGCAAATAGAAACTGCATACTTTTTTAAAAATTGAAAATACCCGATCACCAATTGTCAAATTTGTATACACATTCTTTTATTTATATAGGCTCTGCAAATTTTGATATATTTCATATTTATATATATATATATATGTATTTATATTAAGCAACACATTAAAATTCCCATTTGACTACATAAATATACATAATAATAATAATGATTTTTACTAGAGCATTATGCTTAAACAACTCTTTTCGTAATTCAATTTGCGCACTCAGCAATTACACTGCATTCGAAGACCATAACTCTGCCAAATTGTGTCGATACTGGATGCATATTGGTGGTGTGAGTATCCAGAGTGTTAGTTTGTAAAGTGTTTACAGCATGTACTATTAGTTGGTCTCTATGCGTTTAGGTGTAATTGTGTGATGTGTACTGTTTAATTTGTTGTACTGCGCTCACAAATTGAACAAAGATATATGCTTGTATTATGTTTAATTTCACCAATTGATAGCTTTGTGCGTTTTTGCTTATGCAGCTACTTTACTTTTTCTCTAGTGTACATTTCAAATGCTGACCCACACTCATTGAGAATCAAAATTCAAAGCTTGAACTGCACTAGAAAAAGCACGAAGGTGCACATTTCATTAGTGTATTTTGGTGCAAACTGAAGCTTCGAATTTTGCATAGATTTATCAATAATTACATACATACATACATAATAAGTACACACATCGATACACAACGGAAACCACATTCGAAAGCGTACATATTTAAATTGCACAATTTTAGCTTTTAATTTTTTATATATTTAGATAGTGGTAGCACATACCTTTTACTAATTCATTTGTTTCTTGCCAAGCTTTGCATGCTGGAATCGAAACTTTTTACCCGACTCTACAAGGACCCTGTTCGTAAGTAACTATTGATTAGCCTTTGTTGAAAGCACAGTTAGGCGCTTCGATTCAGCTGAGCATGTAGGCGCTCAGCATTGTATTAAAATGCTGGCCATAAATTCTTTTCTCTTTTCATTTCCAATACTTGTACATACATAGATAGAAAAGAATAGTCGGAATACAATTAAAACACTGATAACATTTATATGCAAGTAGCTTGACATTTACACTGAGCGACAATGCAGAAAAAAATATTTAAAACAATTGGATTAATTTGCAATTATTGTTGTGTTTGTTATTTTGGTATGTTATGCTTTTGTCTAACTTCAATACGCAAACAAATTATTTTATATATATGTATATGTTATGTGGGTATGCAATTTTTTATATATGTACTTATGGGTTTTATGCTAAATGTATTTATAGTATATATAGGCTGCTCAACTCTTTTTTGAATACATTTAACAATTACAATTAGCGTTGGGCGTACCCTGCGGCTGATCCGTCAAGCGTTGTCCTTTCTGTGTTCCACCTACTAACGTTGGATCAGCATCAAGACTTTCAGACATCTTGTCGCATATAATATCCACTAAGCGCTCGAAAACAGCCTGATCAATGAAATTAGTTGTTAATTATAATACAAGGCAAAAGTCATCTACAATACCTTGACATTAACATTCTCCTTTGCCGAGGTCTCGAAGAACTCAACACCCAGTTGATCGGCCAATTGTCGGCCGCGCTCAAAACTAATAACTCGTTGGTCTTCCATGTCGCACTTGTTCCCTACGAGAATGACCTGCGCATTGTCCCATGAATAGGTTTTGATTTGGGTGACCCTGGAAGGAGCATGGAAAATTTAAAACAGTTCTGTAAGTCAAGCAATGCTTATTCTCTTACCAATCCTGCACCGAGTTGAAGCTATCCTCGTTTGTGACATCGTACATCAGAATGAAGCCCATAGCCCCCCGATAATAAGCAGTGGTTATAGTGCGATAGCGTTCTTGACCGGCCGTATCCTGTTGGCAGAAATGCGTTCAAAAAATACAATAACATGGTTCTAGACACTTCCGACCGAAATCAAGTACATGTATTATATATACACAACTACATCGTGTTTTACTGACATAACTTGGACAAATTTTGTGAGTTGGACCTTATAAAGTACCACCTCTTTTTAATAAGCTAGTGATAACGCACAGAACCTCTGAAAATTTGATACAATACAATAATGATATTTTTATCTGAATATATATGTTGCGCAGAGAATGCGCTAATTTTAAAATAACGAATATTTAACGAATTACGATAACTGCTAGAATTCGCGTTTAATAACACTGATTTGTAACCGATTTGTAACAAAGATAAGATAGAAATATGGCTTCTTTGTGACCGGGAGAGAAAAGGAGCGTAACTTCATTGTGAATTTTTAAGGAAAAAAGCTAAAATTTGTATATTTATTAGGAAATAAAACCTACCCTAACGTACTTAACCTTATTACTTGACAAAACTGGACCTTTATTGGATTGTGGTGCTCATTGGTTTTATGCGCATATCTCTCGCTCTATTGAAACGGCTCCAACAATATACATATGTTGATTGACGCCATATTCGACATTTTAACGGCCTAAAAATTCTCCAGCATATCATAGCAAAGTTATAAATAAATTCCCCATGAAAGTAACAACATTTGTTTGAAAACCTTAAATATACAACATACAAACATGCTTACTTACCCATATTTGCAACTTCACCCGCTTGTCATGACGGAATACGGTCTTCACTTTGAAATCAATGCCCACCGTTGATACAAAGGCTGATGTGAAACTGTCGTCCGCATATCGAAATAGAAAACTGGTCTTGCCAACACTTGAGTTGCCAATAATAAGAAGTTTGAACATGTAATCGAAGTTTTGATCGGCTGCATCCTTTTGCCACTTGGGATCTCCACCGCCAGCCATCTTGACCGCTGTCTCGGATTCCTGCTGAAAAAGTCAACTGAGATTATAGGTTTGTTAATCATTTAACAATTCACACAATACCGATTTACAAGGTACCCATCGGTACCCCTATTGTTAGGCTAAATCATTTGTGTATTAGTTTCTTCTTATTACAATTTATTTGTCGCAAAATTTGTGTTTTTCTGCTTCATGACCTGTTGCGCGCACTTCCGATTGATGATTTAAGCTGCAGCTGGATTTTAAGCTCTGTGAGCAACACATGGGAAACTTTAACTGCTATTTGTATACACTATATTTACTTTGTTCTCGTTACTTCTTACATTGGATAGATTTTTTCTCAATGCATCCCCTTCTGTGTTACTAATGTACTATAGATGTGGGCTCACGAACCACGAGCAACTGAGCGCTACCGTTTCAACAAAGTGGTGCACCATGCATCTGAGGTTTTGCTTGCAAGTTAAAAAGGTGAGCAAAACGGACCGATCATATTATCCTGGGCTTTGTTGGTGTTTTTGTCAGTTTATACGAGTGCGACGCTAATGCTCTCGAAATAGTTTTCAATATTCAAACAGTTGAACACTAAAAACGGCAGCGTTAGTAACAGAAGCAAAAAAACACGAAAAAACGTTCCGTAAATCAAATTGAGAAGACGAATAATCTTCTCTCGCTTTAACCATTTTCGCACAACACATCCGCATTCGGTACAGTATCCGTTTCCGTTTTCGCTTGCATTACTTGGCCTTTCGATGTTCTGTGCCCAGACGTCATCATGTTTACCACCACCATTGGCACTTTGGTAAGTTCCCTAGTGCAGTGCTTATGGCTCCTGTGCTGCCACGCCTGGTCACATCCGCTGCTGTCAACGGGCGTCTGCGTTCTGGTGGCCTTGATATGCCAAAACAACGTAAAAGTGCGCCAGCTGCGCCTCAGCCAGCTCTATGAGCGCTTATGCACTGCATTGCCTTGGAATCGCAGCACTCGCTCTATCTATGGCTACAACTTTTCACTGGGTCCGCATACTTGGAACTGTCGGCCAGCCGTCTATCAGAGTCCTGTGAACATCGATGAGCGCTTAGTTCAGAAGCTGGCTATACGTGAGCTTCTCAACTGGAACCACTACGATGACCTTCCTGAGAGCATTGTGCTGGAAAATACTGGAAATACACTCGTGCTACGTGCCCAATTTCGAGGCAATGCACCCACTATCAGTGGAGCTGATCTGCTCGCTAGCTACACCTTCGTTGAGTTGCGTTTTCACTGGGGCTGGTGTAACAGCGAGGGTTCCGAACACACTCTCAACCATAAGAAGTTCCCGCTTGAGATGCAGGTGATGCATCGCGCGGGAGCTGGGGTTCCGCGCGCTTGCACTTCCAGCTATGATCTGTTAATGATTGCCTACATTTTTGAGCTGTCCGCGCATAATCCCTTTTTGGACCCACTAATTCAAAATTTAAAGCTGGTGCAAGTACCCAACAAAAAAGTCAGAATTGCCCCATTTCCACTCTCCTATCTCATCTATGCATTTCGCACCGGATTTTATAGCTATGGTGGCTCATTGACGGAACCACCCTGCTATCAGGGCACTGAATGGTTCGTTTTTCCCGAATCTCTGGCTATCAGCGACTTCCAGCTGCGCCACTTCCGCCAGCTTCTGAGTGCCGATAGAGTCACGCCGATTACGCGCAACTCGCGTCCTGTCCAACAACTTGGCAGCCGTGTAATTAATCTCAACTATTTTTGTCCATATAATAGTGCTCAGTTGGCGCGCCTACGAAGCGAATTGTGCGATCAACAGGAGGAAGGTGAAGCTACCACAGAAGCAGTGGCCTATGAAGAAGAGGGACAACTGGTGGAGACCCTCGACACAACCACCATCATCACAACCAGCTCCAACACAAGCATTTGTGCAACAACCCTAAAGCGCTCAGATGCCGATACAGATGGGCATAGCAACAAAAATGGACAACCGCATGGCATTGTCATCATCAGCAGCAGCCACAACAGCATCGGAGGCAGCGGCAGCTGCAACAATACTGGTCCCGACAGTTTCAACAACAGCCCCAGCAGCAATAACATTGGCGTCTGTTGCAACAACAATAAACGCTCCTGCTGCGGCCCCCTTCTGGAGCAGACCGAGGAAATACCATTAAGCATTACCCCGAACACTGACTGCGACGCTATGTGCGGCGTAGGTGACGGCGTCGGCGTTGGCGTCAGAATTGAACTAATTGAATAGTGGCCAGTGGTCGCAATATTCTGACTAGCTGATGGAATTTCTGGCTAGTCATTGTTTTTAAATTTGTTTTACTTCCGCCATGGCCAATGCATGGAGCGATAGAATGAAAATGAATTTTCTCATTTTCAGTGGCACTGAGCTAGCCATTTTTTGAACCGCGGATTAAACAAGTTGTGTTATATTTTTTGAAGCATTATAAGCATTGCCTTTTATTTGTAAGATATTTCTATCAGCCGAGTGGCACTCAAATTTCAATCGTAATGTATGTAATTTTGTTTATCCAAATTTCCAGCCACTGGACAAATACTAAATTTTCTGGGATTTACTTATCATATCTGGCCTACTAATTAATGTTTCAAGATCTATTGTTCTAAGATACGATTCGTTCTGCCGATTGCGTCAGAAAAACATAGAAAATGGACTCCCTTTTCCGCCCACTATATACAAGTATTTTGTATATTTCAGGAAATTATTCGATCAAGTACATTTTGTATGCTTGTACTATCGATCAGGAAATATTACGTTCACACAAACAGACAGACAAGCCTCTTTAAATTAGCTAATGTAGATAATTTTTATGTACAACCTTCATCAGGTTGACAGCTTCATAATTTATAAATCAAAAGTTGAGGGTTCACTGAGATGCGCGACGGAATAATCATCAAATTTTGATGAACTCAGTGGTTGTGGCTTCATCATCAATATCTCCGTGCAGGCAGGCGACAACCACCGAGGTTGCTGAGGGCCTCTTCAAACACAAACACGGAGACAGACACACTCAAGTGAGTAAGCACGGCTGTTATCAGCTTTTTCACGGTGGAGCTAGGCGAACGATGGGGGAACGTTTTTATCTTGCTTGCCTTTGTAATATTATCGATTTTTGCCGCATCTGTATATATGTGGGTTGTTGTTGTTTCAAAATTTAAGGCTCCGTGTGTCCCTTCATCGCTAAGCAGCTGTTCTCTTGCCTACGATGTCAAATTACGTTGCACACTTTTGTGACAGCAAATAAATCCTTGGTTAACGTCGATATGACTTTTATATGCTCTCTTTGAGCAGCCCAAGCAGCCACATCTAAGTCATATCTAAACTTTTCAAGGCCGATGATAACGTCTTTACTTAATATTTGTGTGAATGTTCCAATAATCTATTCAGAAAAAATCAAAGACCAGCAAACTTTGTTTCCAATTTGGTTTTCTCTATACCACGTAATTATTACAAGCGCATTATACTTGTATGTTAGTGGGATCTATCAGGAATATTTCTGCATTTGACAATAACAGCTTGTACCTTAACGTTTATTTGTGTGGTATGTGGGGGCACGTTCTTGACAGCCACTGCGCCGCAAAAGATTGTGGCTTCCGTTCATTTTGGTGTTTAGGTACAGAAATATAAAACCGCAACTGTCCTGCGGTGTTTTATGCGTCTTAGGCAGGAAGCTTATACATATGTACATATGTATTCAGCTTTGTTGCATTTATGGCTCTGGGGCGTATACTTAATATAATGATAATGCAAATGCACTTACTCTGCCCTGATTACTGCGGTAATCGGGTGTCCGTCCAATGGCACTAGGCTTTTGTGTACTCTGTCTCTGGGTGTTGCTGCAGCTGATCTACTATCGTTTTCTGTCCTTAGTTGTTTCCTCGTTACTTATGCGTCGACAATGTCGATGTTGATGTCGTCTCTGTACCTGTTTTTGTTGCTGATGTCCTTCTTCCTGTGCACCTTGTAACAACTGCTGTTGTTGTTGATTATTTTTGATGTATGTTTATGTATGTATGTGTGCTTGTTGTGTGGGTGTATTGCACGCTATTAACTGTTATTTTTCACACATATGTATACATATACACAAATCAATAATGTCGCTGACGTTTTTTTTTTTTTTCTATTCAACGACTTCACATCTGCTTCTTTTACACAATGGCAGCGTTTTTTGTATATTTTTCGCCTTTTACCGCAGATTGTGTACAATATGTTTTCGAATATTAGATTTTGTCTAGACCAATGCTGCCATACGACTTCCTTTGTTTACGGTTACTCAATCAATTATTCAAAAACGCACACTCACTACTTGCCTATAGCATCAATTAAGCAATTATTCAACTTTTTTCACTTTTCTTTCTTCTGAATTTGGCAAGACTTTTCCTTTTTCTTGAGTTTGTACACGTCGTCGTTGCCCTCGACTTTAACAGGACATAAATGATGAAAAAATTTCCTGTTCTACTGCTACATACATACAATGCATGTGTGTATGTCTTTTCTGCTATTCTATTGTGCCCGTGGAGTTTCCGGCGAATTCATGAGTGGCGAGGCGAATTAAAAAGCGCGTTTTGTATACGTTTTTGTAATTTCACTACGTATTTCAATCTCGGTCCCTTGTCCGACGGTTCGTTTTCGTGCTGCTGCCCACGCAGTTCAGTGGTGAAAATCGATGGGTCTGGGCCGAGTGGGTTGTGTGGGTTGCTTGCTGCCTGTCGTAGCCTCAAATATGGGGCGAATTGAATGAAGTTGCAGACTTTGTGCTTTCCATTCATGCGCATGCGATGCTCATGCGCAATAAATTAAGTATTGAAAAGTGGAAAGCTGTACAATACTGTTAACTAAAAGATGGCGGTATTTTCAAGCTTAAACCAATTGTGCAGTACATCAGTACTGTATAATGAATCAAAAAATATCCTGTTATCATTTTATTATGAATCTAAATTGTCGTCTCAATGAATAAAAAATGCAAAACGTAATAGTCCTTCAAAACGTCTAATGCTCACGCTGAGATGTCAACAATCATCCAACGTTTATACCTAATGCACTGTAATCTTTAAGTTTTATTAACTCAACGTTGTGCAGCGCTTATCATTTCAAATGACATTTAGCCATTCGATTTATAAGCTAACAAAAATATCAACTCCTAAAAATCGCCAAAAATGCATTTGATAATTAAACACGCAATCATTTAGATATATTTCCATAAAAACCCGGACGGTCGATTTTCATTTAGCAATTACGTTTTATCGACACACCGGATTTATGAGCAATTGAAAACTTTATGAGTTGGAGCAATTAAAAGCTGAATATGTTCTTAGGATCGTAAAATACGCGATTGGACTGTATATGGGGCAAAGTTTTATGCAGAACACCTGAAAATCAGCTATGTTTTGCGTGAAAGCGTGATATGCGAATCATAAAAGGTACTAACTAAAATGCAACAACATTTATTATAATTATATAAATTGCACAAACAGAAAATAAAGTACATATGTTATACGGCTTTACAGCTTGCTGTTGCCTGCGAGCATATCACGGACAATCTTCACAGCATACTTCGCAGTGCCCGGGGCTGTGGTTACTCCATATCCACCATGTCCATAGTTGTGCACAATCTTTAAGTGACGACCCTGGTCGTTGCTAACCAATTCAGGCTCCACACGCACTACTGAACGATGTGGGCGCAGTCCTACACACTCACGCACAATCTCCGCATTCTTCAAGCTAGGAAGCAAATTGTAGCAACGTTCCTTGATGGCCATGCTGTCGTATTTGCACCACTCAGTGTTGTAGCTATCGTACTGTCGACAGCCGCCAAGAGTCACAGTCTCAAATCCTGGGAGCACATATGTATCAAGATCACCATAAAAAGCCGTCTTAATCCAGGGCGCACGCACTTTTAGTACCTGTCCACGTATGGGAACTAAATGCTGATCGCCACAGAGGTCCTTAGCGCCCATACCTGTGCAATTGAGAAGAACGTTAAAGTTTTGCGGCACATCGAAAAAGCTCTGGACATGCTGGCGCACCACTTTGCCACCGTTGTCTAAGAATCTGTAAAAAGTATTTACGGTGTTATATATTTTTGTTGATCTTTAACCGTGCATCATTTACTTTTTGGTAGCATATGGCAAAAACAGGCGGCTCTCGGTTAGACAGGTGGTAAAGAACGATCCATATTTCCAGCCGCCATGACACAGCTGCAGTTCCTCCTCAGTGGCACGCCGATACACCGGCAAAAGTTTCTCGATGAAATGGTTCTAGACAGCGAAAGCAATTACATACATATAGTACATACATATGTACATTAGCTTATAAAAACATGAGCGATAAGATTGCTCAAAGAATAACAGCTGATACTAGCCCCACCACTTACTCTAACGATTGACGGCGTTGTGCGTGAGTAAATGTATCCAGACAACTGGCATACACCAGCCAGAGGCGCCTCCTTAGATCGCCGTATGTCATCCCAGTAGTTGAACGCATCGGTCATCCATTGTCTGGAAGTAAAAGTTAAATATACATATGTACTTATAAACTTATTTAATAGGCGACTGTTCATACTGAGTAATTTCCTGGGTGGGGCCCATGAAACTGGTTCCCGGACGAAAAATGCCCGCCGCCACATAGCTGACAGTATCCTCATTGAAGCGATCGGCAATGATAGACACATGTGCTGTGGGAAACTGTTGCTGCAACTCCAAAGCGGTTGTCAAACCAATAATACCGCTTCCCAAGACGCCAAAATGCATTTTGTTGTGTTACTGACTACTAGCTGTGTATCTGATTTCTGAGAGAACGCAACTGGCACTAACTTATATACTTCACACCGAGCGTATTTAAGGGTGCCGCCTGGGGGCAATTGAGCGTCTAATCAGCTGCATTAACCTTAGCGATAACATCAAAAAGATTTTTGAAGAATATTATTAACCATAACCGTAGCCTTGAAGGGGCTATTTTAAAAAATGATATCAACGGCTTTAGATGTGCGGGCAAACTTTAAGCCTTTTTTTTATTTTTCGATTGTCTAACAACTCTTTATTAAAAAGCATCTTTAAAAACTTTCCAAAAACTGAATTCCACTTCTTTGTTCATACATACATATGTACATAGATATGTATAGTATGTTCATAAATATGTACATATACTTATGTATTTTTTAAGTATGTAAGTATTTCAAGTTTATAACAATGCATTTAAGCTTTAGCTCATTGTAATTTTACTTTTGGGGAATGCAAAGCCTTTTAGGTCGAAAGAGTTTACATACATACATATGTATGTCTTGTATTACCGGTTGTTATCATTGTTGTTCGTAATTTGCGGAATATATGCTATGAAGTAGCTCTCTCACTCGCGTGTCAATTGTTTTCTTGAATTCATTCCAACAATTTGATGAACAATAGCACACCAATGCTATAAACGTCTTTGTAAGTTATTTATTTAATTATCAATTTAAATTCAGTTCAGTTTGCCGTCATTGTCTCTGCCCAATTGTTTCAGCTGTTTTTATACACTTACGTAGCCCTGGTGTATAGCGTTTTGACGTTTTCTAGTGCATTTTATATTTTAGATAGCACACTCGGTATGTAAACACTGTGTCAGTCATATGGAAACAAACAATTAAACAAATACCCATATTCAAATTTTCCGAAATTTGCACATGAAAATTAATCACAGAAGCGAAGGAAAAACAACGCAGGATCAGTGCGCCTAGTTTCTCATATTGCTGGCAATCACGTGGCCAGAGAAACCAGTCTTATACATTCTAAGACCATTAAGTGTTCAACGCCGTCAAAATAGATCCGCCAAGGAACATGTCATCAATGTCGCCAAGCGAGGTAAGTTTGAGTGGTTACTGTCATTGTTGTTGCTATTTGATGGAAATGATTTGCGAACGGCGTCTAGAGCAGCACCAGCTGCATTGCCATATTACATAGACCACAGACAAAGACAGCACCTTACCGGCCACTCTGCGTACAAACGAATGAAGCCACTTGTGCAAATGTTTGTTGTCTTGGCGCTTCCGTGGTCATACAAAGAGTTCATCGTCACCTTATCGGAGCAAATTATTTTGCTTTCGGCAAGACCTAGAAGAAGGAAACGTCATGCGATAAGCGGGTGCGCTAAATCAAGAAAATTTAATACATAATCGGTGCAAGTTTAACAGCGGTACCCGCACAGCAGCAGCTATCAAAGAGCCGCTTTGTACGCCGGTTTAGTCACAGGTCAAACTTTCGCTTGTCAGCTCTTGGGGGAAAGCCTTGAAAAAGCTACCAATTCCTGACATTGCAAAATGGGTGCTAATTAAGTTGTGCTCATTTAGCCTTCTTTATACCTTAGTGTGTCCCTTCGCATTTCCGCCACCACCTCCAGCAATTTGATCGATCGTTTCACTCGTGCATCGTAGGCGCCTTTGTGGTTTTGTTTATGCAACACAGCTAAATCTCAGTGACCATCGAACGCCCGTTGGGCATCGAATGCTTGTTTGTTTGTTTATGTCGTCTACGCCCACATAACTGCTGCATTTCCCCGACAGCTTTTGTTTATGCAGTGTAAACAAATTTTACTAGAGGCGTCTTTGGTGTCAAGAATGGTGTTTCTGCAATGCTCGAGCGATCCTAAACAGACATTAACCTGTCCCTGCTCAAATTTGACTCAAAATGACTCCCTGCTCTCTCTTATATCGAATGTTGACGTCTCTCACAGTTAGTAAAAAAAGCTCTTGTTGCTTCGCCTGGTCGCTTTGCATGCGCGCCTTGTTCATATTTCCATTCAGATGTTCAGTCGTAGCTAACACGCCAATTTGCACGCGCCGATTTTTTAATTGTTGTTGACATCGGAAAGTGTGTTTGAACTATTACAAAGCTTTACAATATAATAATATTAATAGCTGTTGCAGGGCGTTACAAAAACAAAGCGCATCATTTGATTTAGGAATTTCGCGATTTATGAATACTATAAATCTCCAGTACTCAACGAATCGACCACTTAAATGAAATTCATAATAGGAAATTCTGTTCGATTATGTGTGTTTGTTATCTAATCTTATCAACCTTTGTTCCCAGAATAATGCAAATATGTGCACATTCGGCATCTGTGAATTATTCGTCTGTGCTAAACAAATTCAAATAACCTGGAGACATTCCTAAAGAAATCAAGATAAAAAAAAAAGTAGAAAATTTTAAAACCGTTCACACTCATACTTTCAATGATGAACGAAAATACGTACATATATGCATCTACTTGTATGTAAATACATAAATAAGTATTAATCGAATTTTGAGTACGGTTTATTTCGAAACGAACCAGTTTTCGAGTCGCCACAAAATAAAAAGTAAACCTAAAGCACCTCATTCGATATTCAAGCTACTTAAAAAATTTGTTTTTTTTGCGACTTAGAATTCAGTCTTTAACGGCTTGATCGCACACTTTGATGATCATTATGCACAAGACATCGGTCATGAAATATGCATGTGGCTTTGGAAAAAAATTATGTATCTTTATTTCTCTAATATACGCTTCCTTATGAGTAAACAATGTACAATTTATATTATATTAAAAAATCGTTTCGCCTGCTATGTACTGCAATGCGTAGAATCTTTTGTTCTTATTGTTCTGAAAGCTACCCATAACAGAAAATATCTGCTAAATAATTCGATATAAAGACAATGTATTCAGGTCAATCAACTTCCCCCACAATTAGCGTTCAGTGATCCGCTAAACTCAGACGGTTTATTCAATTTTAAAGCTATAACTTTTCCACATTATGTAACTTTACATAAAGATTTCCCCCCTTTTCCAAAGCATTTCTTTCATCATGCCAAGAGATCATGTCAGGCCAGTAAAGAAATATTAATTTATATTTGCTCTTCACTGCGTCATTCTGTTTTGTACCACTGTATCTCACTGGCACGCTTTATCAATAAAATGTAAATTAATCATTATGCTCTGAATAAAAAAGCGCCAGCCACTCTTTGTAGTGATTTTGCAAATGGAAACGCGTTGAGTGAAAATATGAAAAATTATTTTCATTTAATTTCAATTAAATTGTTGCTGATTTTGCGCACACTTTTTGCCTTACCTCTCCCTTATATACGAATGTTTATTGTTGTAATAGCATGCGCCTTTCACGTGTCGCCGTCAAGCTACTTGACACGTCTTTATTGGTGGCGTCGTATGTGTACTCAGTTGCACATCTGTTACTTACAATAACAACACTTATGGTATTCCTGCAAATGAGTTAGATTTGATTTAGACTAATCAATGCAAACCTTAAGGTACGATAAATTATTTTCTGCTAAGCGAGTAACCCATTCTGCCTAGTATATACGAAGCCTGAGAAGCGAACAGGTCCGACTAAAATATCGCGCTATCCCGGCACTCCTTAGGCGTACGCTGAGAGCCTACTATACAACGAACTTTTTTTCAATTTCCTGAATGTTCAAATTACAATAGCAAACAAAGGCTACACCTACACATATTCCGTCAACACCAATCTCTTTTCAATGACGTCACAAAAAGATAATACTAAATATCTTGGCTGCGCAATGACCATTTGGTACCACGGCTAAATAGAGTACAAATTCAGAAAATTAGACGTTTCATAAGCAGTCTTTCCAGTGTTGTAACTCTTATCCTCCTCATCTAGAATATTTTCTGACTAGCAAGGGACATTAATACTCACTGAACAAGTCCGGACACATAGATACTTATGTACGTATATATGTACATATGTACGAACATGAGTAGAAGGGGCACTTTATTTGGACGTGACACACGCGGCTGTTAAATGTTCGGCTTCATCATCATCTCGGACCCGGCCTCTGATAAATGGCAATCAAACTTGCTGACCGACTTGCTCATCAGGTTTGTCGATAAAAATGTTTCTCTGACGTCACATCAGTCAACACTGATGTCGTTGGTGGGACGGATGCCGAGAAGCAGCTCGTTGCATTTTTCACTTCAGTTTAGTGCATGATTGCTGTTTTTGCATTTTCTTTTCGCTGCCCCTTTTTCGCGATTTTATCGATTCTATTTTAGCGCTGTCGCTGCTTGGTGCGAAAATTGAATGGCTAGAGATAAGTGGGAAAGAGGCGGAGCTACTGGCAGCGAAGGGCAAATTGTTGATTTAACAAGTTTAAGGTTCTGTAGCAGCTGCAACAACAACAAAAATGACAATAGCAACAGAACCGTATTCGCTTCCGAGTACAGCTATTTTTGCAATTTCATTTGGCAAGCAACGTACTCGTACTATTAGTTTGCTTGTGTTTTTTAATTTACGAATAATGCGCTTACCAATTCTTTTCATTGTTGTACGGAGGTTCGGGCTTATGCTATCAGGAAATCATTTTATATGGCTTTGTTGTTGCATAATTAAGCGTATTGGGTCGGGCGGGTCGGGGTGGGGTTTTGGATATAATGTTGAGATATGCTGTACATATTTCAATTGGCCATGAATCAGACAAAAAGCAGCTCAATTTGCACTACAAACAACAATCATCAACAACTTTCGACATGACTCACAGGCGCCACACTTTCCACTAATGATACACGTGTTTATTTTTGTTATTTTCCGGCTGGCTGGCAGGCTGCTTGGCTAGCTGGTCAACGTCCTTCGTGCCACCCACAAGCCTCCAAATGCTCATACATTAATTTAAGCTGAAAATCACCCAATCTCATTTAGTATGATTTTTATCGCCTTTCGGCACGCTTTCTAAAGAAGAAGAAGAAAACGAAATTGTACAGATTTTAGTAATTATTCTCAAAGTCGGTTAAGTTGTTTATTTACTATTTGGTTTGTTTTTGCTTCTCGGATTTTAATCGCCGACGCTATCAAATCTACGAGCCTCGAATGTTGTTTTGTTGTTTTTTGCAACAACCCGAAAATATGCAATTGATTATTCTTCTTTTTTTTTATTTACTTAAGGCACGCAATTTTATAGAATTTTGTGGAACTGCAACATCTGGTAGTTGAGTATTGAAAATGGAGTTTATGAAATTACAAATATATATTTTAAGGGTTCATTGCACGTCTCAAACAGAAGGCACGGCCACACACAATACGTTAAAATTGATGCACGCTACATGAGTAAAGTGCAGATATCAGATATATTATTTCTATAAAACACTCCTCAAAACGTTCAAAAGCTTAACTGTGCCATTTCGATGTTACCAGTGCTCTGACGGACTAAAATAGGTGATAAATCGACGTATATTTGTCTTTCATAATGAACAGAACAGATCAAAATAAATTATTAAATTGCTTAGTGACCACATCATAATAATGTTGTTTAAAACCGATCCTAATTGTTATTCCTACTATTTGTTTTATTTTATTTTAGATTGATATCTTGAACATTGTTGTTCGTAGTTCCTTCGAGCAGTAGACGCCTTTAAATTCGACTTTCATAGCGCATAACGTGACCTTTAAAATTGTAAATAATGCTGTTTCATTCAAATTTGCAAAAAATTTGAACAAATCACATTAATTATACTCATTGCGTTAGTAAAGAAAGTTGGCACATTTATCTAAGATAAGTGCACCATATCCATTCGAGTCGTTGTTACTTTTCGATAACAAATCAATTGCATAAATAAATTCTAGCTGAGTAACTTGCAAATCAAATGCATGCATACACTCAAATATACAAGTATATTTACTTGAAATCGAAGCTTCGACGACTCAGCTTTTGCCTTGACTGGGAACGTTGCCCATTCAAATGTTGCAGCGATTTTATTAAGCAGCTGTTTTCATTTACCCAGCGGTACTTACCATTTTCTTTACATTTATATATATATATGTATTTTTATGTGTGAGCGCCCGTCTTGTCTTGAAATATAAGGTATCGCAGTTTTTAATCTTATCAGCGCTTATCAGGTGTGCGAAACATGCAATTGCCCTGATAAGAGTATCACGTTCGTATGGAGCGAGTTGGGCAAGGAAGTGCTCTGTCAGACTTTGCACTAATTGCTGTTTCTGTTTGTTTGCTGTTTGTTTGCTGAAAGTCAGTAAAGAGCGCAGCGAATATGTTCTTTCCGGTACCCCTCACGCATGCAGTTCACATAGAGATACTCGTACACGAATTAAATGTAGATATAAATAAATAGTCGAGCTGCGGCTGCAATGGATATTTATAAACATGTTTAGTGTACACTTTATTTAACTTGGCTGACGCCTGAAATTCTTCGTCTGTCGTGACGCTCCTTGTTGCTTTATAGCCAACAATGTGCATATGGACGCGTTTATTTTGATAGCACGCCCAGTCGATGGGTACGTTTATCCTAAACTCCCTCCCTGCTTGTCTGACCCCTATTCGTGAAAAAACTGCCAAGACTTGAGTGCGAGGCGACACACAGATATAAATGTTGCCGTCCGTCTTCACAGTGGAGCGAGCCATACAAAAATATTTTGAAATATCTTGGATGTTTAGTTTTAAAGAAATCACTTACATCACACCTTCTTTCCCAACCGAACACTTTGGCAAATTAGCACTCAACTCTGATCGCTATTTGAGGGATGAATAGAAAATACAAATTGTTATAATTTTTATCCGCATCATTATCCGTGATTTAATGCTTTCAAGGGATTGTTTATTATTTAGTTTTGACTGACAAAAATCTTTTCCAACGTCAGTGTCATTGACAACTGATCAGAGTGTTGAAATGCTTTTAACAAAGTTAATACCAATCCGACCCACTATGCGCTGTTGACGCTACTGCGTCATCGGACCTTTTACTGTGCCCCGCGTCCGTCTTTCGGTCTATCACCTCACACCTATGAGTCGATGAGTCTACGAATGCGGTGCGGCGTCAACAAATTTCTCGTACTTTTCCCAGTCGCTCGTTCGTTTGCGCACTTTGCGGTTGTGTCGGACGCAACAAAAATTCGTTACGAAGATATGTATGTGAAGATATGTTTTTGCAATGCGTAGAGTGCTTTGTTGTTAAAATATCGAGAACTGTTTTAAATTCGGCAATTCGAAAACTGTGAACGGAGCAACAGTTGATATTAGTGTTTAGTAGAAGGAAGCATAGCAAATGTCTTAAAACAAAACAGCTGTCATAATTCCGAGTCCATTTATTGAATTCAAGAAAGTGCGCGTCTAAAAATGTTGAAACTTTTCAAAAAAACCAAGGATAAAATTCCGAAATCTGAAATTATAATTGAACCCAAAGAACTAAAAACTCCGCCCTTGTCCAAATGCGGCAAACCTCTGCTGTTGGACAATACGCGCTGGGAGGCAAGTATTAGCAATTAAAATAAAAACAAAAACAAGAAAAGTATAATATCTAAGCAAAATAAGTTAAAATGGTGTAAATGATACCGCTTTCTGGATATTTGTGCATATGTATGTACTTCTATATCGCGAGAATATGTCTTAAGTCTTATTCCAAATTACTGCGGCTTATTTTTTAGACTATATAGAATTTTTTATGGAAAAAATTTTTGCAAATCGAGCAAAGCAATTTAAAAAACGCTTTCTTTTGCTATATTATTTTTCATACTTACTAAGCCTAGTTCTTTAGAAAAGTACAAAAATTATTGATAGAGCTGATATCATGTTATTTATTGTGTTAGTATGTACTTCAAATGCGTCTGCAGTTTTATGAGCCAACAGAGCTACAAAAAATACTACAAATATACAACATTATACTGTTTATAGTCTAATAAGTGTAAGAACAACAAAAAACAAAAAACAGAGAGAGAGCCTACAAATCGTTTGCACAAATAGGGCTGTGTTTTATAAACTCATGTGCGATTTATCTTATCGAAAGCTTGTACGTATGTATAGTATATATAGTATGTACAATATTTGTAATATTTAGCGTGATATAGCGGCCTTAGTTAGAAATGGAATGTCGACGAAAGCTTAAAAAGCTGACAGAAGGGAACCAGAAGAATAGCAGGAAAGCGCATTTATTTTGAGGCGTATGTCTATACATTTATCTAAGAGTTGAATGCCTATAGCCGATAAGATAGCGTCCAAAATAAATGGTCGAAATAATGAGCAAACGTACTATTAATTATCGTGTCACGATAGCCTTTCCAATTACTGATATCTTGCATATAGTATCAACTGATAATGTGGAACTACTCTGCTTACAGCGTCGGCTACACAAAGAGCTTATGTCCTTGATCAAGGAGCCACCACCAGGCGTGACAGTGGACACCGAGAGCGTACAGCAAAATTTATCAGAGTAAGTAGTGCGATGGCCAGCCGGTCAAAGCAACAGCAACAACTAGGCCAAGTGCGGCCAAAACTGGTTGAACTTAATGTTTTTACGATTTAAACACTTTTGAACAATACGAACAACTGTTGAAGCTTTGCTCTTACTATATAACATAATTAACATTCGCCTCAATTACAGATGGAAAATAAATATCAAAGGTTTCGAGGGCACACTTTATGAAGGCGAGGACTTTCAGTTGCTATTTAAATTCAACAATAAATATCCCTTTGATTCGCCAGAAGTAAGTTTTTGAAATTTCATTTCCTTGCCAAAACAGTAGAAATGCATTGTGTGTGTTCTTTCAGGTTACTTTTATTGGGAATAACATACCCGTACATCCACACGTCTACTCCAATGGCCACATATGCTTGTCCATACTGACCGAAGACTGGTCGCCGGCATTGTCAGTCCAATCGGTGTGCCTTAGCATTGCCTCTATGTTGAGCAGTTGTCGCGAGAAAAAGCGTCCTCCAGACAATACGCTCTACGTAAAGACATGCAACAAGAATCCCAAAAAGACTAAGTGGTGGTACCACGGTGCGTCCAATTGCTATATACACTCACGCCCAATTATGCAATGTATAATTCTGATTTTTCTTTGTTTATTCTAGATGATTCTGTTTAGTACGCGTTGCAATGATTACTACTGCATGCTGTTTCTGTTGCCCACACACAAAAATTAGAACATAAACATAACATGCAAAATACAACACGCTAGCCGATATCAAACTGGCGCATCATGTTGCTGAAAGGACACCATCGCTGGAGCTTTTAACTCACAACTCCAAAACATCATCAAGAACAACAGACTACTTAAAGTAGGGCCACTTAAAATAAAAATTAGCTGTGACAATTTTTCGCGTGCAACCCCAATGAAAACACACTTAAATAGAGCGTGGCACGAATGGACTCTCATTAGAAAATTTAGAACTAACACAATCTGATTGCAATATTAGTGGCAATAGTATAAAAGGAACTGCAATATTGATAACAATCACCAATACAAAATGCAAAACAAGAAAAATTATTTCAATAATCAAAAACGGAAGCGAGAATGTAAAGTTAAACTATTATAAAATGTTAACATTTTAAATTAGATTGTTAAGTGCGAAATTTACGTATAAATTAAATGTTACTTACCACCTACGACAGTAGGTTAAATGTAATGCGAGTCTTTCAGTTGCTGCAGCCGTTACATTCCAAACAGCGAAAGCTCAGCAGCAACGTCGACTCTTGCAACTGCTTAGCAAACCATTTAAAATTATATGTTTAGGGTTCCCAATTTGGCACTAACAAGCAGTAGTAATCAAATTACACTTATTTACAGCATAAGACACATTAATGTATTAAAATAAAACCCACATCCAATGCACACCACATGCCACCACACAAGGCACACACATCTACAGATTTGTATAATCCTTAGTCATTTGATATTATAAATTCGACTTATGTAAAATTTCATCCTCGTCCAACACGTAAGCTTAAGTTTCATCATTTTACATGCATAAATGTATTCGATTAACATATTTGGCAAACGGTTTGCAAGTAAAACCAATCAGTGGCCAAAAGCTCGCATGTGGCACGAACACATTTACCTCTTACTGTGCAAGTAGTAAAGCAAAACGAGCTGCTCGTTGCAATAACTTTAATGTAATGTAATATGTAAAGATACGAACATTTTAAAATGAGGAGACATACACAACTATATCATATTTACTGTTAAAAGTATTTAATAAATGAAAAGTCTGTAATCATAGAATTTCGAAATCTTCTTTCTTCGGTTGAGATGTAAGATAAATTCCAATTTGAAATGCATCGTTTATGTGCATACAAAAATATAACAAACGCACTGCCAAAAATAAGGTTCAACAATTGCATCTTGTATTTCCGAAGATGATTGGGGCGAAGAAGAGGAGCCAGGATTTGAACAAGCTAATTTGTTATATTAATACATCGATTTATGTTTATTCAGGCCTTAACAACTAAGCGTAAAGGTAGGAGCATAATTTATAGAAATAATCACCTAATTGCAAGGCTTTCTAAAAAATAGGAGACACATTTGTTTAACAAAAATGTTTAAGCGTGCTGTGCTCTTTGTGCATTGGTATGTCCAACCGCATTAGGGATTCGGCGCCTAAGTGCCTGCTGCCATGCCTGCAGTCGATGTATAGTACAGACACTGCAAAGCTTCCTGCAATGCACGCTGGCAGGCAAGCGTGGAGGTAAAACCACCGGCATTCTCCTGCGGCGTCTCAGCTCGTATGTGCGATATATAGCCCATACCTTCAATATCGCTGGGAGGCGGAGGCATTGGTCCTTCCGTTATAAGCTCTAGTGGCTCATAAATAAACAGCGGCCCCTCTTCAGACTTTGGCACTGGAAGAAACGTCGTATCGGTGGTCTGGCCGAATTTAATGCCCGTCGAGAATTCATTTATCGATTTTAGTGGTGGCAGCTGCTTTTCTTCTTCGCGCTGTTTTTCGGCCTTTTCTGCAAATTCGCTGACAATTTGAGCTGCGTCCTTGCCGCTGTGCATTAACTCTTCGATGAGCGCCTGCTTATCTCGCGCTTTTTTCTTCTTGTGCTCCAGCTCTAACTCCTCTAACTCCTTTTTGCGCGCCTCCTCCTGCACTCGCTCCAGCTCCAGCATTTCCTCCAATTCGTACTCGTCGCGTCCGACACGCGTCTTGTTCCGTTGAATTACCTCTCTGTTGTCCCGCTTGTAGGCCTCAATACGTTTGTTTGTCTCGATTATTTCAATGTTGTTGCACAAATTATAAACAATGCTCTCTATCTCCTCCAGGTAGTCGTTGTACTCTTCCAGCGAGCCAAAGTCTTCCTCGCGCTTGTTATAGTCCCGCAGGATACGGCGTCGTATGTCCACCTCCTTCTCAACCATTGGATCCTCGAACAGTTGAACTCGAAAGTTATTTCGACGCAATGGGACGTTGCATTCCGGACACGAACCGGAGCCTTTGAGGAACAACAAATCGACGCACGCCTCACATAGCGTGTGGCCGCAGACGTTGACCATCAACTTCAGTGAAGGATTGCGGTACTTGGTGGTCTTGCATCGTGGACAGGCTTGCTCGTCCATCCTCCCACACACTAATTAAACAAGGCAAGCAACAGGAAAGTCAACTGGTAAAGCCGTGCACTCGGCATGCCATTGTAATTCTTAGGGTTATCGATAGTGGACTTGGTTTCCCTAATGTCAATAGCATCGTGTAGTCACAACTTTTAGTGTGATCAAATCACATGTTATCGATTACCCACTAATATTAAAGAAAACGATAAGATATCGAGTAAATAAATTTAAATTGCTTTTATTTCCATTTACACCATTTTTAGCTTTCAGCAAATAATGTAATAACAAATGCCTAAAAAAGCAAATTGCTCGTAACTATATTTTGAAGTTTCTCCATTTTTTAACTGTAGAGCCACATCATCCAAAGCATACGCAAATAAGTAATTTGGTAATAGAACAACTAGTTTTATTTAGGCTTTATTGGATAAATATTTGGAAGTCGAAGCCCTGCAGCGGGTGCTCGGTAGTGTTGGCTCCTTCGACGATAAATTATCGGCTTATAAAATTGTAAATATCAACATACAGTTTTTGAGAAATTGATAACATGGAAGGTTGTCAGTAAACTGCACCCACAGTTCCACATTGTCCTTTCCCGTTCGGCTTGTTTAGAATAGATGCTTGGATTTTCTTAGTACAATTTAGTTTACCAAACCTGGTAAAATATAATTATTTGCAATTAAACACTCGTTGTTGGGTTTAAACACGTTTATTTCAGCTTTCGCGGTAGTTTTCTGCACATTAAGAGTAAAGATATAGTTTAAATGTGATTTAAATATACATACACGCATATCTATATTGTACGATATATTCTGTTTCCTTCTATGCATAAATTAGTTTACACGAATCAAACACATTTCTTATACACGCTTGCATTGCTGGACGTTATATACCGAGTAAACACTGTCTATAGCAGCAAGTGTACAAGTGAATATGTGTTGTGTTATTTAAAATTTACATTTAAATACAATTGTTAAAATGGAGTACAATTACACACACGAACAAAGTTCATTCTCAATGTGTGTGTAAGAAAGAATATACATGTTAAAAGCATTAAAAAGCAGTTGCACAAACTTTTTAAGGTTAAACATACATTTGCAGATTGCTCGCATTTGTTAGTGGCATGTATATTTGTAATACTTGAGAAAAAGAGTTCTGTAAGGATGCAGGGATTGTTTAAAAGCAGCGAGTTCTGTATAAGAAATACATATGTGTAGAATGCTAATCAATTGAAATCAGAGCTTACTAGCTCCAATAGTCATTTGTTTTGTTTTCATATTTTGTGAACGATTTGTAATTCAAACTAACTTATGTACTAAGTGTGTGGGCTTAAATACAAAATTTATACATGGTCGCTTATAGTAATCAAATAAGAAATAATATAAACGTACAGTGAATCTAACAATAAGAATAATAAAAGGCGCGCTTTTTCTGTATAGGTTCAACAAATTTTCGATTCAATTAGAAATCGAATCACTGTAAATATCACAATTTAGTTAACACATATACATACAATTTAATTTAACATAAATTTAAACTGTTACTAACAAGAGGTTTGAGTTTAACTAAACTATACAAATGTTACAATACGTACAATTATTTGCGTTATATATGTTAGATGCTGCAATTCACGAGCTAACAAGAAGTTTTTACTTGTATGAAGAGTCTGTATTTAAGCGGGCTTTTAATTAATGGTTAACTAACGATTCGTGTTTTTGTTTAAAGCACCTACATATATATCGGAAAATACATTGAATTCTTGCACGAGTGTTTTATAAATATATATATTTTCTTGCGAAAACGTTGCTTGCCCCATTCTGGTTTATTAGCCTTGCAAGGCAGTGACCTCTTCCTCCAAGTCGCCATCGGCCTCATCAATTTTAGAGCCACTGCACCCGCGACACTTGCAACAAATGATGCAGGGAGCGGCAAGTAGCAGCAGCGGCGACGCCACCAGCAACAAAATTCCAAAGCCTGCAAAGATGCCAATAACTTGAGCGCGATGCCAGACAACAGATGCTCTTGAATGGCCCAATTTGTTTTTGCACGGTCCTTTGTCGTAATGACGCAACAAAAAGTCGTCCTGTAAAGAAGTACAATAAAGGAGAGATTTGTAATATTCTGATTTGTAACTGATGCTGCGTTTACTCACATCCAAGCTGGCTAGACAATACCAGCAAAAAACGTGCTTGCAACGCTTGCACATCATCTGGGCACAGCCCTCGTCTTTCTCAATGGGCACCGCGCACATGGGACAGCACTTTATGAGCTCGTTATCGAATGGTATGCCGATGTCGTCCCCATCTGCAATCAAACGTCGGCCAAACTCCTCGCAGCTAATGTTCGGATGATACTGAAAGTAAGGGTATACACTAGATAAGCTTTCTATTTCCAATTAAAATTGTTTTACTCAAAATGTATTCATTACTAAGACGGCTACATATTGGCTCACAGAAAAGACAAATTCTTATGATATTTATTTCCGCCATTTGTAAAGGATGAATAAAAATTAGTGAAGAATTACTTCAATGTGTACTTGTAATTGATATTTTAAGCACTGCATTGAGTAATTAATTGCTATCCAAAACTCATTGTGAATACAAATTTGGGTTTGTTTATGTCAATTGGTTGTAGTTTAACTCTTTATGTTACTTACTGCTTTCTTGCATAGGGCGCAGAACTCATCCTTGCAGGAAGGACACTGCACTGCCACCGAGAGGCCGGTAGCATCCACATGCGGCACGTAGTTAGCCGAGGTGGTCGAAGTCGAGGGCGACTCATCTATGTGGCAAATGGCGCTGTGTGCACCGCTGCCCACCACACAAATCGTTTCGCAGCCCGCGCGTGGACACCATGTGCGGGTTTTGTCTAATTCGATTTCTGATTATGGATATAAAAAAATCATTGTCAGGATATACAGTACAAATTTTGGTAAATATTTCGAGAATAGATTTTTGTATACGAACCTCTATTTAAACGGAACCGGTGATGCTTCTTCAGCAAATTCGTTGTGGTTAGATTCGCAATTTCGGGTAGTGTGATGGCTCCTTGAGCTGGACACTTGGCGTCAGGGCACGAGATCTCGTAGGCGCCTTCTAATATTTCATACTCGACATATGCGCGCATGCACTGCAAAAGAGAGATAAAGCGAACAAACAATTTAAAATTTGTTACTTCAAAAACTAAACATACTGCAAATTTCCTATTTAGACTTGGTTATCCATGCTCATGCGCTGTCAAACTATTTAAAAGTTGTTCGCTTGGGACGTTACCACAGGTTCACAAGGGCTAAACTGAACCCAACAGTAACAGCAATAGAAGCGGCTTAAAATTGACACACGGGTTGCCAAGTTCATCTCTCCCTCCCACCAACAGCCCTCAAAAGCCCTCCAACCACATTCCACAATATGGCAGCCACAAAATTGCGGCTGCCAAAATGATTTCATTTTCAGATCCCACTAGTAAAAGTTTTTCCCAATGCGGAACTTGTATAAATAAAGACTTAAAAAGCTTGTGCGGTCAGGCCCATGTCGTTTTGTTTTTCTCTGCTTGTGGACTTTGCTTTAAAGTAATTAAATTGAAAACATAACCTACAAACGTTTCATTTTTGAATGGCAGCAGAAGGCCACAAGAACGCACATTTATGAATTAAAAAACTTATCTTTCTGTGTGCTCATCTGTGTGTATGTGTGTGTGTGTGTGTTTGGTACTGGTGGAAAGCTGTAGCATACTTTTCAGTACTGATATACATATGTACATATACGAGTACATAAATAACCCAAATGAATTGCCTTCTTTGACCTTTGGGAAAACTTTTTTGCAACAAGATTTTTAAATTGCGGCCTCTTAGACTGCCACGCCTAACGCACATAGTTTGTTTTTTTTGAAGGAACCATCGGCTGTTCAACTATTATAGATGTAGCACACACAAGCTCCAAAACAATAACGTTCACCCGAATTGTAAAGTAAATTAAATAGTTAAGATATTTAATTATCCACAAATAACATGTACAAGAATATGTGGCGATTATTAAGAGATGCAATTTTATTTGGCATTTTTTTTAAGCTTAGCTAAGTATATTATTTATATTTACTATTTGATAGACTAATCAATTTCAATACCCCCACAGTACAGAACCGCATGATTGTACGCTCAGCTTGGTCGAAAAAATGGCGGAGAGCCTTGTGTTTTTTCTTTATTGCTAATTGTGCAAATGTATTCCCAATAAATGTTTGTCCGGCTTTAGCTTTCGGATGATGGTCTGCCAAACAATTCCGCATGAAAAAATTGCAATCAGCTTTTGAATAAATGGTTTAGCTTTTCAAATGTTCTTACTATATAGTAATGTAAATAAATTCACATCAAAACATCTATATGGTATTCTTGGTTAGTGTAATAAGATCGCATTATGTCGGACGATTTTATGAACAACAATTGGTTTCCTATCATGTAAATAAAGAGTCAGTGTTGCACGGACGATGATGCATTAAAAATTTAAAGTTGTCACCATCTCGTACACATACATATGTATACATATTTATGTGCACCAGCAGAGACAAATTCGCTTTTTTTAATCAAATGCAGCCGCTGTGCATTTCGTATAATCCGACTGCCAGCTAACCTGGCAAAATTAATATGCAGCGTCTGCCACAATTTAGCAGCAGGGAAATGGCTGGTTTCTCCGCCTCTGGAATATGGTGGACTTTTTATTATAATATTTATCGTTCATTATACGTGTGCGTGTCAAGCCAATTTTTGTTCGTTTTGCTATTGGGTTTTCGTTTTCGCAATATTTTTACAATATTTACATCCTCATAGGTACGATATGAAGACACAGCAATTTTTACACAGCTATGCGAGTCCTTTGTACTCAAAGAAACTTCAGACACTGAATTATATGCATAGCAGAACAAAAAAGAAGAAGAAGAGCGTGCCCCGAGATTCCCGTACATTAAATGTACCAGTTTGAAGCATGTTTTACTCAAGAGTGTCCACGTCTAAAAAGTTTTCCAATTCAAATTACTTACACACGAAATATAAATCCTATCCGCAAGTTTAAGCTGAGAAATCAACCAGTCATGCTCTCCCATCTCTTAAAAGCCTAATAGCATTTAGCTTGAATGTATTTTTTTAGACGTGGGCGGGCCAAAGTCAATTCAATTCAAGCGGATAATTAATAATGTACGAGTAGATTTGGGTGGCTTGCTGAACTTCGAATCAATTGATGAAAACAACCACAGGCTGAAAAACTAAAAGTACGTTTTACATTCACATTATTGCTATAATTTCTTATTATTATTTTGTACATTTGCTTTGTATTTATTTATTTCTTGTGGTAATGAAGTAATTCACATAATCAGATTGACTGTGAAGATAAATATTAAATAGTCGAAAAACCATTTGTTCAAATACCAGTCATTAAAATGAGATACTTTTCATATTTTCAGATCTCTGGGAATGACATAATTGTATATATGATATACCAGAACATGTTCAATAGCTGCAATATAACGAGAAAATGCCTGTGGTAGATAAAAATCAGAGTGAATGACTCGTGTAGCGATAGCCAAAAATCCGTGCGCGATTTTCACTTAAAGCCAATTACATGCAAGAGTGCGCACAACCAAACGATGTGCAGGACATCCAGACAGTCCAGCCACTCAGTTTGCTGCGCGCTCATATACATGTCCTGTCCCTAACACCCCCCTTACTTTAATCCAGCTCATTAGCGCAGACACGTTAATTAATATGCGGCTGTTGTTCAACTTATTTCTGCTCTCTTTCAGCGACTATCATTAAAGATGGACGCAAAGCTGTCGCCGTATTCGACGTCAAACAAATCGAGAATCCTGTTAGCGGTCAGGGCTTGCCAACGCGCTATAAATAACAATTTATAGCGATACTTACATTAATGTTTCCTGCACTACACGATCTAACGAAAGAGCGAATGAGCTGCGGCTGTCGCAAACAAACGAAATTTCTAGATCCGGCTTAATTAATGCGATAATTTTCAAATCGGTCAGCTAAAACCGTACACCTTGCTCAGGTATGTATGCCAGCAGCAATGTAATTGAGGCAGCTTAAATAAACCGCTTGTTACATGAACGCAACTACAGAAGTGTGGGGCAAGAACCAGAGATAATGGCGGACGCAGGAGCAGTACGGGTCTGGGGATATGCCTTTGTTGCATCGTTAAGTCAGTCCAAAAAGCGCATGGAATAATGCACGACTGCTTCAGCATTGAGTGCAAAATAATCAACAATGCTTACTGTTGGCAAAAGGGGAGAATGTAACTCGCATCAATGGTTTTAGATACACAATCCGCTTAGTTGTTGCATGCACGATTTAAAAGATTCGACGAAGAATTTTGGAACGACGGCAATTTATGTTGCTTTAAAAAATCAACACATCTACGTGCCACTTTTGAAGTATAGTGTGTATTAAAATAAAACACTAACTAGATCCAAAGCTCAGTTTTCTGTTAAATACCACCCTCGTAGTTGGTTTCATACAAATTATTATTGACAACGGCATGGGCTTGAATTTCGCCTTAACGGCTTTAAATGTTTGCGCTATCCCTCCTTAATCAGTAAAGCTACGACCCTAGCCCCATCCCAAGAAAATGGGCTCGCTAAACGTGCAAGTGCGTTTGGTATCTGTATAAAATTGAATTGAAATTGCATGTCCAACTTCGCTTCCGGTTCCGTTGATAAAAGCAGCCCTTATTGAATTTCAATCGATTGGAAATGTGTGCTGTGAATGCCTTGCTTTGTGGCAGAGAATAGCAAAGAAGGTAGAAAACCGCTTAAGAAATGTGTATAATGCCGTAGCCATGTGTATGGCATGCACCTAAGTTGCGTCGGTGCGGAGGATGAATTTAGTATTCTTAAGTAAATATTTCACTAAGATGCTTTAGTTGTGTTGCTGTTTAAAAACACAATTTAAGGGCTCATTTCTGTCCTGTAATCATGTTTATCTTTTAAGGTAGAGAATTTATTTGAAAGTGCTTGCATAAGATACCGGAAAAGCAGAAGCACGAAGGCATTGCCGTTGCTGGAATACTTGACCCAGCTGCCTAGCAACAAACCTACCGCTACAAATTATTGAAAATGAATATTAAAAGATTTAGTTTAGGACAACTGGTTAAATCTACCGTATTTATTGTCGTTGCTACCGTCTTTCATGGCTGTCCAGCAGTCTGTCTGGATTAATGTCTGGATTTCAGAAAAGTTTCCACATCCAAAGTGTCCAAACATGGTAGTGGTCGTGTTGCCGTCTAGTCCGGGATAGGTAGGGTAGGTTGAACTCAAGTTCAATATTAACTTTGTTTGCAGTATTTTTTAATACGGGGGAGCTGTGAAGCCTTTTAAATGTAAAATTTTAATTGTACATTGGCGGCGGCCGAATTACATCCTGTGTTGCTGATTTCGCCAGTACATTAACGGCCGCTCATAGAGACGGGCGATTATATCAATAAACGGTTTGCGAATCAGGGCTTGCGAATTCATTTCCGCCTTTGTGCAAAATCCGGTCTAGACAATGTATCAAAATTCAAATACTTGTAGATACGTACGATACATGCAAACTGGGAGGTTTCGTCCCCGCACTTTAAAATTGCAAGCATCCTATAAATCCATAGTGGCCCAAGTCAGAGATGCTTAGTGTTTTTATTAACTTTTATTGATTAAATTGATTGGAGACCCTAATACTTTTGGGAAAAAATGAAAATTTGAAGCGCTTTCGATTATGTTCAATTAACAACATTTGGTCAGAACGAGCACCAGGGCCTCAAAATGAAAAGAAACATATCTTAGAGCACGTCTGGATATTTGTGCATTTGTTAGTAAGTGTGTGCGTGCTAGAGCGTGTGAGAATCGCTAGTAGAGGTTGCACTTACGACTGCACCCATGTCAAATGTCATAACGTGACATCAAGTGCTTGCAGTTGACGAGTTGTTTCTTGTCATACAAGTATGCCGCGGACCATTATAGGTCACGTTGCACTGTGTAACTCACTTCTAAAAGTAGTTGCAATCATATGTCACTTTTAATACCATAAACAAAAATGCACAACTAATACAATGCTTCTCCAATTTTTAGCAACTCGTGTGTTATTATGTTGCAAAGTATAAACTGTATGTACTATAAGTGCATTTTATCTGCATCCCATAATATTTATATTCCCAGAATTTCAGTCACAATTTTTATATTTTGCATTATTATTTTTAAGACTTAATATTGAACTGTTTGTCGGCCGAATTTTTCATTTTAAAACAAATTAAGAAAAAGCAAACCATCTGGTCAACTAAAAGTTACACATCTCTGAGCAGTTTAAAAAAATGAAAAGTATGCTAAATCAGTATATAAGTATGTATGTACTTGTACATACATAGCTACACAAGTATTTGCAGCACAAAAACCTCCGCCCCCTAACACCCCACTGATAACGCCTCGTATTTTGTTATAGTCACAACTTTTGCATTTCGCTACTCGGAAAGTTTTTGCGCTGTGAGGCTATAAATACCAAGCAGAAGTTGAACCTACAAAGTTTTCAGCATCTCTATCTCCTGTTTCTTTATTTGCATTGCCAAAATTCGTAAGCAAAGTTTTGCCTGTTTGCAACTTGTTTTGTGGTCGTGGGAAAGGAATCAATTCTTAAATTGGAGCTACTTTTCGAACATATTTTAAAACAAAAACAGAGTCAAAGATATGTGGACTTGGAAAACGAAATAATGGAATTCATTACGACTATTGCCAGTTTATTTGATTTAAAACTTAATACATAATAGTCTAAAAATCTCATAAACTTCTCGAAAAAATCATAGCTAATACTAGTTACTAATTTATGAAGAACATAGGGTAGCTTTATAGTCCTTAAAATATTACAAACATACTAGCCATAACTTATTCCGACGACGTGTTCTACATTTCGCTTAAGTGCTTTGCCTTTGTTTGCTTTCAAATTACTTTAAGGTTTCTGCACCCCTTAAACGCTAGAAAAGATATTGCTTGACCAAGTTAAGGGAGCATCTTGCGACGACGGCCACTGCCTTAAATGAAGCCATTTTCACAATGGGCGATAAGGGGATTGGGACTGCGTCTAAGGGTGTCGTAATTGTAGCAAACATTTTAAAATGCCGTCGCTGCCGCAGCCAAAACAAATAAAGTTTACTTAGTATGAAGTCCTCAAGCAGCATAGGAAATGTGGCGTGGGCACTAAGCACGTGATCTGCATATCCATATAAAATGCAAATATTTACAACGGCAAGTAGTTGTTGCGGGTGCCTGGCAATTTAACGCGAGCACAAATAGACGCGCCAAAATGGCGAATATGCATAATGAATTCAAAGCAGACAGGATAAAGAAGTCGGAAGCGACAGATAGAAGTGGTCTCTATCGTTCTTCGACTTCGCGGACTTTGGAAACAACAGCTCCGGGTAGCGAAGGGCAGGACTCCGCTTAAAAGCTATTTCCGGGTTTCAGCCATTTTCTGTTTTCGCGTCATTTCCGCTGGAAGACGTTTGCGCATCGGACCAATAGCCACAAAAATTGGCAAAGCTCACTGACTTTTCATTTCGGGACTGGCAGCGGCAACAACAACCGTTAAAAGCACAAAGTAACGGAGTAATTCAATTGAAACGTGATTTTGACTGTGGGGATTTTTTTTATTCTTTTGAAACAGCCACCAACACCAACAACGCCTACGTGAACTTAACGCGTGGAAAATTGGCAATTCCGTTTGACGTTTTATGCGAATTTTATTTGTTTGCCTCTGCCACTGTTGTTGTTTGTTGCCTTGCTTGATTGTCTGCACGCCTTATCCTCATTGTGTATGCAAATCTTTGCATGTAGAAAGGTGCTAATAATCAAGTTTTTTTCGTATCAAGTGTGAAATTGAAATTAGGTGAAAACAAATACACTTTGTTACTTTCAGTTGATATACTTGTACGCCATGATGTAGGATTAGTCTTAAAACAGATGTTACGATGATATTTAGGAACCAGCTGAAGCTCATGAAAAATATATCAATGGACTTTGAAGTCTTATGATTGAAGTATTTTGCTCTGAAAAATCCTGAAATCTTAGAAAATCAGACTAATACAAACAAACACTCAAAAATATATTTCAACATTTGCTTATACGGCACTGTTGAGTTGTTTTTCTCTGTATGTAAGCAGCAAATTGGGGCAAAGCTTAAAGAACCAAAATGAATTAGATGCGAAATAAATAACGTAGCTAACGAGAACAACAATGATATAAGAAAAATGGGCACAAGTGCATCAGTATGTTAGCCAAACATATATACTTTAAGAGCGAGTATGTAGTATAAATAGCGCACGTGCTTTTAAGGGTGTAAGTGTGAATGTCGACTTTGTTCGACTTTGCTGGCAAGCTAAGATGTCAAAAGTTTAAATGCCTAAAGACAAAGGAGACATTTTGCACATTTTACCCACGGCACGTAGTTAAACTGCACGAGCGCTTTTGAAAGCGACCATGTTGTTAAGAAAAAAGTCCCTGACGTGCCACATAAATTTCAATAAGTTCTTCGCTTACATTGCTACTAACTTAAACTCTCGAGCACCTGAAAGACACCTACTTATTTAAAAGAAGGAACAAATACACGCACACAAGCGAACGCATTCTGGTGCCGCCATTTGTGGCACATGTTCTTTTGTGCACACGTCTGCGTGTCTATGTCGAAGTATGTGGAAGTGTTTGTGAATGCAATTTTCGCCACACAGAATTTGTGGACATTTTCCTTCTATTTCAACATATTCCACAAAAGTACGACCCACTCAAAATCACTTTGATAGACGCAGGAATTTTGTTTCAACTGTGACAGTTGGCACAGGATTCACATTCAGGTATTTCTTCGTTGAAATACTAGGATATTAAATAAACATATAAACATGTTTATATATGAGCAGGGCATCAATATGCAACAACGAGGCGTATGCGCAATATTATTTGAAACTCTGCTCTTATGTGAACGCTACAGTCGAGCAAGCCCGACAGTGAAATACCCTGTACCCCCAGGGGTGGGGGGGGGGGGGGGGGGGGTTGTACTGGCGAGAATTTGTTTCGCTAATAACTTTTCTTAGAATTGACCGAATTGAATAAAATAAGCAACAGTAGATAATTATATATAAAGTATGTGTGCAAAGACGGACGGACATGTCTAGATCGATTTCTCTCGTCATGCTGATTCAGAATATTAACTTTATGGGGTCGGAGATGTTTCCTTCTGCATGTTACATACTTTGCACAAACCTAATATACCCTTTTTACCCTACGGGTACAGGGTATAAAAAGCGAGTGCTAGGTGTACATTGTGCCACGCCTCCTTCTGCCTGGCACTCTATACTTTTGTACATTTTATCTACATCCGCTTTATTAAAATGCATGTGAGTCTTTCTGTAGCAGCATAATGTAAGTTAAGCAATCGATATTTTGTGTTATAACTACAATTCTGTCTGTGATGGGAAGATAGAAATGATTGAAATTGATTGATTTATTTACTTTCAAATACTAACAAAGCACACACACAACAACAGTTGGATTTACCATTTACTAGTCATGGAGTTGTTTTTAGACGAAGAATCCGAATACTCAGTGCTGAGTTCATTTATGAACATGATCAAAAGATAGGAAATATGAATGCAAAACAATGGGCGAATGGCCTCTGTATCTTACACGAAAGTTACAGTTCTTATATCCATTATTTATGTAAGTGTAAGATTAAAGATATCAGCATATCTACTCACATCAGTACCGAACTGGCAGCCGCATTGTACCAACATTGTCGCTTCGCCCACGTTATCCACATCTACCAGGCAAAGCTTACAGGTAAATGACTGAAAAGGTGCCTGTGGCGTGCCGACTGAAGGTGTGACATCTGCGGAGGCGAGCATCTCGCGCCTCTTTAACGTGATTCCATCGCGCACGCAGCATGCTTGCGCAGCGTGATTTGCTGTGGCCATGGAGAGTAGCGAGCTGACGGTCAGCGGGTAGGCATGTGTTGTGCCAAAGGCGCCAAGCTCAGCGGTGTTGGTGGGAGTGGGCGCCTGCACCACGTCCGACGACTCTTCTTCGTTGCTGTTGTTGTTGTTGTTGCTGCTGCTATCATTGCTATTCGAGTGCAGCGTAGCTGTAGTCACATTGGAAGGCGGACTGTTGCTACTAACGCTAAGACGAATCTTAGCATTGACATTGATATGCGGTTCCGGCTCCTGATCCACGACCTCCACACTTGTGTTAAAGCTGACACTGGGTCGCCTTTCAAACGAGTGAGCCGTGTTTTGGGGAGGTGCCGCTGCACAGCTGCTCACGAACCCGTTGGCCAGCGAGTATCGGGATCCGGACGCTGCCAGGGAGAGTATACTGGAGCAGCGAGAGCAGGTGGCTGCATTAATGCTATTGACACTGTTGCGCAGCCTATTGAGGGGACGAATTTGCTCCACTCCTCCTGCACTAAAGATGCCGCTGCCCGTAGAGTTGGCCGCCATCGAGGCATCGCTGGGCGCGCACAGTGAGTGCGCACGTCTAGTGAGGGCCAAAACTGTTTCACACTTTCGCAGTCCTGTATATTGCACGATCGATTGTGATTTCTCCTGATGAAGGCTACTGGCACTACCCTCGCGCCGCACCATGTGCCACAGCTTTTGTTGCACTACATTGAGCGAAGAGGTGGACCCGTTTCGATAAGTATGTGCTAGCTGGCTACCAGTGCTGAAACTCTGGCGGCCGGCGGGGTCGCGTACAACCACATCTTGCTCCGAGGGCGTACGGGTAATACGAATCTCGGGCGAGGAGGGACGCTGATTGCTCGGCGGTGTGGTGTGGCTGTTGTTGAGCGAAGGGTTTCCGCCGACATCACGACCCACGCTGCCCTTGAGGCCGACCAGCGACTTGAGGAAGTTTTCGAGGCGTCGGCGACGCGGTAGCTGTCCACCCGCCAATCCCAGTGAGCCTTCGACATCCCCGCCAATGCCACCTCCCAGACTGTTCTCGTGCAGCGACAGGGAGTGGGACACGCCCGCCTTGCGCTCGACAGCGTCGCCAGCGTCGCGTTGCAGGGGCACTGTGTTTGCGTCAGCTATGTTGATCCTGCTGCGCGTCTCTAAGAGCGCAACCGTCTCGCTGACATCGTGCGGGGGCGGCACTGCATGCGTGGCACTGTGTACGCGAGGCTGCTGCGGGCGACTGATGTGTTTTGTATTGGCCAGCTTGTGGAGTGGCGAGGAATCCTGAAATAGACAGAAATAATTAGTTATCAACACACATACTTGTATGTATATAGGTAGTGTATGCGGATGGAAAGAATTTTAATATTAACTTTTCTTTAATTTACAGGCACTTGATACTATTTTGGTTGAATATAGTGGCTTACTAAAGCTGTATATTGGATTGAATACCTTATTTCTAAGAACTTTCAAGAACTTAAACAACATTAAAGATTCAATTTAAATATTGATTGTAATATCTGGATGTGTTCTGCAAGTCGCACACCTCTCAAGCTAAGCTGGGTTGTTTTAAATTCGCTTAAAAGTTTTACAGCGATCGGATAAGATGTATCCCAATTGAATCATTGGAAACGTACGTTATAAAAATGTAGTTTTCTGCTTAAGCTAACGAAATATTCATTACATATAAGTGATAACCTAATAGATAAGCGTTTTACGGCTTAAATTACACGCAAAGAAAGTGACAATTCTATTTATGTGAAACGTCTAATATTTCTAAATATTATTTGATTGATTAACTTACCCTTGATTCTTGTTCCAGCTCCTCCTCGAGCGCGCTGTAGACTGGCGCGTACCAGGAGTAGGAATGTTGTTTACGCGCCGAAGTGCCGGTCGCGCTGGCCGAGTTGACCGTCAATGCTGAACCGGTGCCTGGATGATGCTTATGGAGCACGATCTTTCCGCTGTCGGCGGCACTGTGGCTACTATCGCCAGCCGAACCGGGTGTGCCGGCAACAGATGCAGCGCATGAGGCAGAGGTCACCAGATTGTTGTTGTAGTTGAGTTGCAGACTACGACGCTGGTGCTGTTGTTGTCGCTGCTGGTGTATTCGTGTGGGTGGTAGATGCTTCGTTTGTTTTCTCGTGCATTCGCCGAGTCCGTAGAGACTGTGGTGCTGTCGCCGTGAAACTGAAGCGGTTACCCGCTTATGATTTTGGGCGTTTCCCAGCTCCTTTTTGGTAAATATCAAAGAGGCGCTGTTCTTATTCAAGCGGATGGAGCGCTGCTTGTCCACCACCGTCGCTTCGATGTGCGTTAGAAGCGGCACAGTTTCGGAAAGTGGTAGAATCTGCTGTGTTGTTGAGTCGGCGGGAAAATTTATGACGAAATTTTCGGCTGCATCATCAAAAATGCTGGCGCGTTGTGCGCTCCGGCAGACCTCACTGGACGGGGAGCGTGAGATTTGACTGGTGGAGATCCGTTTCTCTGGCTGTGCTAACGGCAGGTGCAGGATCGTCGGCGCTTGACTTCCTGCCTCTAGCTGGGAGGAATGTGTGAGATCGAACAATTGTTGTTTGGAATCGTTCAGAGCAGCCGGCCTCGGCTGATATGTGACGGCTGCGGCTGCAGCTGCGGCTACTGATCTGTAGCTGAGCTTATGTTCGACCAACAGCTCTAAAGGCTGTAGCTTAGCTTTGTGCGTGGTTTGCTGTTTCTCCTGGTCAAACTCTTGGAGCTGTTTTGGCTGCTCTATGCTGACAGGACTGTGTAGTTGGGACTGATGTGGCGCCGGCGTAGAATGTACGTGCACCTGATGATAGCCTTCATTTTGCTGCAAAGCCGTCGGCTGAGTTGGTGGTCTCATCTTGGGCCTTCCTCACTAAATTCACGCTAGCAACTGTCAGTGAAATGCGAGCAGTGACGAGGGGCATGCGAAGCCTAGCCGTGAAAGGCAACAGCGACAGCAAAGTCAGCATCGCCTACAAAAAGGAAAATGAAATTTTATAGTGGTTATATACACAAAAGAGTTCCTATTATATGAACGATTAATTTTATTTTGCAACCCATTTATTAAATGTATCAGTTTTAAGAACCATCAAACTTCAATTGCATTCCATATCTGTAGTCAACTCAATAATGTCTAATAGTCGCAACTGAAAAGATAACCACCTACCCCACCGATGTTTCCATTAAACAGATGAAATTCAATAGCACACCATCCATATACATAAAAACTGCTCTATTTGCATTTTTTAACGATTTGCATTTTTTCGTAGTGCTGGATTTATTGCTTTATATTTTTTTTTCCAAAACTAGCCTGCGTTTATTTGATTAGTGCGGCACATGCAAATTGTCAGCATGGCCATAATTCATAAATGCCATCACCGTTACAATCGGCGACTGCGATAGTCGCGATCCTCGGGCGTTCGCTTTATTGGAATTTAATTTGTTCAGATTCCGCTTCTTCTGTGAATTTTTATAAGTTTTATAAGTCGTTGAGAATTTCCCCGGAATTCATATTAAAGATATGCAACTATTTTCAGATTCAACTGATAATGAATGACTTTGACATAGGCGAAATATTTGACACGATAGAACATTGAATATGTTAGTTCTGACTTAATTTGTATTGAGAAAACTATGGTGCACAATTCAAATGACCAAATCGACCACAACCGCTATTACGCCTAACGTTTACTAATTAATTGGCCCTCTGAGAAGACATTTAAAAAAATAGTTGCCTATAAACAACTTCACTGAGTGAGTGTCTCTGATAAAGTACTATATGTTGTCTAACGCCTGCTGTGGTTTCCTGCTTGAACATTGTGATGTTGTTTTAATATACATCAAAGAGTTTTTGTTGAATTTTATCGCTAATCAGCTTAAATGTTGCAACAAAGGAAATCAAATTTTGCGCCAATTAGTTAGCCACTAATTGTTTCCCAAGTTCAGCACAAAGCTATACAGCATAAATGGAAAGTGAGGCGGCGTAAATTTTCCACAGTATATACATATATGCGCATTTGAGTGTGTCTGTTGCTTAGGCTACACTCATGCGGCAGTCAAATTGAAAGCATAGACTTTCAAAAGCCACCACATGCTGTTGCACAGGTCGTCGGAGCGCTCGAAACAAATAATAACGTACGGAATGTCCCAAAAACGTATGCCTATGTATGCCAAAGAGGAATGCAATTTCCAATTTTAACTGGAATCATCAAATGTTATATTGGGAGCCTACCTCTTGAATACATATTCGACAAGACTAAAATAACAAAGGGTGCTGGATAGAGCGTTAGATATTTTGATTACTCTGTTGTGGCAGTCAGTAATAAGAAAAAGTTGTTCAACTTTCTTGAGTTTTGGCCAATTAGTTGATGGACGGCCACTGCACAAAAACTCCACTGGCATTAATGGCTGTTAATGACGGTATGTGAGTTTATTAATATTGGACATGCTTGAAGGGTAAGGCGCACAAAAGTATGCAATAGAAGAATTCGTAATTCGAATTGTTGCCATGAACATGAGAGAGTCAAGCCAAAAACACAAGAACAGGTCACAAGTTAGCGATGCGTGGAAAAAATGCCGAAGATAAATTGCTCAAGTTTGGCTTAACCGCTTTTACGCCCACACCCCACATCCGACATCTTTCTTACACTCTTCAATGTCAACAGCCAGGCTAACAGTAACCTCGCTACCAAGACGACACATTTGCTGCCTGAGTGCTTGCCTTGTTCTTGTTCTTCACTGGCATTTTTCCACACCCACAATTCCCATCTAACAAACACATTTATGGAGGGTCAAATAATCGCTTTTGGCGCAGTGTGTGCACGAGGAATTGTCTTTAACTTTTCATTAAACGCCATGTAAGAACTAAGAACGCAGAAGAAGATGAACACAAGGACTTCAGGACAAGCCGAGTACTAATGTTGACATTGTTATAGAATGAAGATTAATGGTTGATGTGAGGGAACTCAGAAATTCAGACAAATAACTCAAATATGGGCAATTGTTAGCGGACTTTCCATATACAGTATTTGTACGTATGTATAAGTATATATCAAAAATATCATCACATGTTTTGCAATTCTTACAAAATTTCCATTGATCACTTAAAAAAGCATCATTGTCATTATACACCTATTATTGAAAAAGTGACTTAAGTACTGCTTGTGATTTTTTCCGAGCCTTACTCGCATGTGCAACTATAAAAAATGCAAATTCATTTATTTTGAACACTGCTCATTAGCAGTTTAAGACATCAACAATTGATGACATGCCATATTTAGACCTTGATTATGCGAAGTTTGTTTAGTCAAGTAACAAAAATAGATAAGTTTTTAGTCAAAGCCTAAAATAAAATTAACATACATAACTCCAAAGCCGTTTTCTGCTACGAAATAATAAGCCAAATTTTTCCATAACACTATACCTAAATTATATAGGATTTACTTACCATTATAAAAATTACAAGAACATTCGTTTGATTGGCACAATTTATAGTAACTGAAAAAGAGAGAGAACAATGCTTTAAATAAATACCATAAATTTACATTTGATAACATTCAACATTCAATTAGACGTGATTTCGCACTTTTCACTGCAATTTTAATTATGCTTTTTATTGATGAACGATTGCCTAATTAATGCTGGCTATTATGTGTTTTGTTCCTCGCAATGCGAATGTGCATAATTTCATAATATATTAATGTTGAACTTTACACATGACGTGCACTTAATTGAATTACTGACATGGACACATTTATGTTAAATTATACATGGTATTGTGTACATTGGTATAAGAATTCAATTGGCAGATGTAATTTAAAAAATGCTCTCTGAATTAGCCTAGACATGTAAGCTCCGCTTTAAAGTAAAGCAAATTTACAAGAATACATTAATTCCCAACAAAATATTTTCAAACAGCTTGGTAATAGGTATTCACCTCGAATATGAGCTTGTTAACCAAATTATTATTGATCAATTGAACAATGATTCATAATTGTAAAGGCACAAGTGCAGTGATTACAAAATGGTTGCACACATTTGCGGAAAAACATGATTAAGTGCAGAAACATAAACGTATGACGTTTATGTATGCCATTATGGCAATGAACAAAACGTCACTCGCAGCACTTGGCCATTTCTCATATTATTTCAAAGGAATACAAGTGAAAAACGTTGTGCGTCAAGCGAAAACGTTTGACATGCCACAATATTTGCTGACGACAGAAGCATGCAGCACACAAATAATAATAACGCATACACTGACAGATTCACAGATTGCGCGAGCGATTTGATAAAAGTTCCCCTTCGGTTGTACCAAAAGTAGAATAAATACAATACATATACTTTTTTCAGAGAATGCAAAAAAAAATTGAGTACTAAAAAGCTGAAACACATAACGGTATTTGTAATATCGAGTTAACATACGGCAATGATACTCGTAATATGTGATGTGACAATTGACACTTGGAGCAGGCTACAGTCTAGACAAAGGCGATGTATGTAAGTACGTATCTGTATGAAACCGTCAACCAACGAGAGACATACATACTTGTATAGTAGCTATTGTATTCATTATATTAATTATATATAATGACGCTTAAACACAAGAAAGCGCACAATAAGTGAACATGCATTATGAATATGACGCATACGCCGCGTATTACAAATGAGAGTCTACAACATTTTGCAGTTAGAATTTCACCCACGTGTGCATCGAATAACGAAGACGCCCACCTATTACTATATATATATACCAAAGACGATAATACATGGCTATTAACGCTCTACGAACAACTTTTGAAATGTACACACTTAAACATGCGTGATCATACATTTTAATACAATCAAACGCAATTACATATAGTTCAAACTTAATTGAAATCTTGAGCACTTCAGCGCCAAAGTCATTTCCGCCAACCACAGGTTGACTTCCTTACAAGCTTTGAGCTTATCACGCTATAGAAAACCCAAGCCATTACTGTTGTTGCTTTTGCCTATGCAGTGGCCGACACTTTCGTGTGGCTGTCAAATTAAGTGGCGAAGGACTTGTGGCAGTCCTGAGGCAGCAAAACAGAATTTATTAAGTATATTACTTATATACGCGTATATATATATAAATATTAATATATTTTTTTAAATAGGTTTCTTTTTTTAAGTTCAAATTTAAATTATATTGAGAAATTATAACATTGCTTTAAATTTTTTTTCCCTAAAATTTAATATACAAATATTATTACTGACAATTTCATTATATGAACTTTTTTTAATAATTGGTCTAGGGGTTTTTCGGAGAATGGCGTTTCCATCATAACGTGTCCGATATAACGTCATTTGATAAGACTTTAATTTCGAAAGGAAATTGTTTCAATATCGAGATGTATCCAATTAGCCCTTGTTACCCTAGATTATTGTTCTCTTATCAAATGAATGATCAACCCGGGAAAAAAGAAAAAAACTTTTTACAAACAAGTAAAAGAAAGTGTGAATTAACTCATTAAATTTGCAACGATGTTCTGCCGCGGATATGCTCGCCGGCCAGAGTGTGCTGTAATTTCTATTGGACACCCCAGGGGAAAAAGTCCGTCATGTTGTTCCAACAGCGGATTAGTCCAACTCTGTATTTATTAGATGCCTTCCGTGGCGCAATACAAGTGCCCCTTCTCGTTGGCTGCCAAAACTTAACTAAAACTCCATTTTCTAAGAACACTTAACTATCATTACAAATACATCTACATCCTGCTCCTTTGTGACGACACCTTGTGTATCCAAGGCGTCGTTCCAAATTAATATCCTTAATCCAAGTGCAACAGATCACGCTATAAGGAGTGTAATAGACCTGTTTGCCAAATTGCAAACAAGTCCAGACCGCCAAGCGTACATAATTGCAATCATTTAACAGTAATCCAAGATATAGTTGTCAAGAAGAATAGGATAATATCGTAATCTAAAGAAGAAGAAATGCCTGTGCATTTTCTTCGTCGAATCTTTTTATAATTTACTGCATTCGAGGCTATGTTTATATTAAGAACGCTGGGCCTGAGGTTATTCTGAATGTGTTCGTAAAGATTCGAACTTATCCCGACTTTAAATTTTAAAAAAGCTGTGGGCGCGTCATGTGTTATACACATGTCGACTGCTGCGCACGATTTCCGTGCTTAACGTTTCCGGTTCAGAACTAAAATAAAAAACGAAGGACAAACACTGTCAGCTACAAGCGATGTCCGTGACAATAACAACAGCATGATAAAGGATGGGCGTACAAAACCATCCGAATGACAGAATGTCAGACAGACAAGTACTCAAATGTGTGGACAGACATGCACATTGTGTGGGCGTTGGCATGGACTTTTTTGCCTATGGCATTGCGTTCTTCGCTTACAGTTCAAGACTCAGTAGTTTTTATAACTTGCAAAAAATCCGCAAACAAACAGCACAAAAGCCACTAAGCAAAGTTACAACTTTGGGCAACGTCGGCTGTAGTTGAAGTAGCTGTTATTGCAACAAGAAAAACAATATCTTCACCTCCACGAAATTCACTTCCACTTTTCTGTACTCTGCTAATATTGAGTAACATAGAAACATATCGGTTCTATGGTATACAAAGGCCGATCAAAGTTTCCTCTATAGCATATTTTGAAATTGTTTAGTACTATAATGAAGAATTTTTTTCTTTACCAAAATGTATAATATTTGCTACCAGCGGAAAGAAAATAGTACTTCTCCCTTTCCTGTTTTGAATATCTTAGCATATAGCTTGCGTAAATGTTGAACTACTTTTAATTTTCTGTTGATTAAGCCATGAACAAAATCACACTACGTATTTCTCAGTAAACCCTTTTACCAGCCTGCATATCCGAGCAACAGAAAAAATACAAAGTTTACATGCCAATACCAGTGATGTAGGAATTAAAAATGCCTTTTAAATGAAATTTGTAATGGATATTATTTATATACACGTATGTTCTTGTTTCAAATTTAATCTAAATACAAAATTGTTGTTGCCATTTCCAAAGTTGATAAATAAATATTTGACTTTTATCATCATCACATGTAAAGAAGAAAAGTAATTAAATGTTTGCACACGTAAATTGAAATGGCAAGCTAAAAACATTTAAAAGAAGCGGTTTTTTATTTATTTTGTACGAAATTACTTTCAAATCGAAAGGCAAAAATGAAACAAAAATGAATTTTTGGCTTCGTTTGATTGTAATAAATACTTATTTCCAATCCCCCCAGTCAAAATGAAAACGAAAGCTGAGACAAACCCAAAGTAAAGCGAAATTGTATGCCCCTCCCCCTTCTAGGCGTCTAACCGTTTTACAGTATCAGATGAGCTGTGAATTGTTTGTTGAACGGGTCAAACAAAGTTGGGTTGATACAACATGTAGGGTTTGGTTTTGTAATTGGGAAAGCCACAGTTCCAATATTTAAGAAAAATCAAATAAATAAAGTTCCTCGAGTCCAAACCGAAGATCCGGATACATTCACCTCACATATACCGAAAGTAACCCAGCGTGACTGTAGACTCTACAGTGTAGAGTCTATTATATATGTTAATTCACTTGTTCAGATTCACTACACAAAGTAATGTACGGAGAGTTTCTCAAGCCCCTTCGTGTAGTGTATATGAACATTTTTTTATGTATGTGCATTGAAATTAATTTTAAAGACCGATGCATATGAAAAGCGAGCTGAGGTGAAATTGGATACACAATTAAAAGTCAGCAGAAAATTGAATTAAACAGTAACTTTTTGTATGCATTGCGTAGTTGAAATGATGATGTTGAATCAACTATAGACATTTTGTTAATCGGCAACAAATAATAAATATGCGGTAAACAGGTCCACCTTTCTTATAAGAGTGATAAAAAAAACAAGACAAAAGATATCCTATCACATCGTAATTCCGCAATGCTTTAAAATGTGCTCAGCCTGTTCTGGGGATAAGTGAAGGACTCACAAAGCTTAAAAATTGTTACTCCCACAAGTAAACATACAGGCGCACAAACACACACACAGAAACTTCAGCTTGAGACATGGTATGCTATTATAAAATATTGACATAAAGGCAAACAAAAGTGTGAATGTGTGTCGATTGTGTAGACCATAGCCCATAGTACGAGTACTTCATATTAAATGTCATAAAGTACATATTTGCAAAGCTCACCATGCACATACGTTCATAGCTGTTTGAAAGTAGTATAATATGCGCGTCTGCATATTTGGTTGAGAATGCTTCTACACCGCAAATTGTTCCATAAAGACATCGAGAGCCAAAAGGTGTGGCCACCCGTGTGTATACCAATTATGTCAATTTGTTCATATACACATACGCGTATGTGTGTCTATAAATTTTGTTCTAACTTGTGTATAGTCAAACAAATTTAGCTAAATTGTTTAGTATCCACAGAAGGGTTTTGTAGATTTCTAGACAAAGGCTTTGCACATAATTTAGTAGATTAAGAAAAATATTTCAGAAAATAGTTGGAGTTTTATTA